GGAAAATCAACTCGGATTTAACGCTAGATACGATAGATAGTAAGTAAAAAGGACAGTTCTTATAGACCCTGCCAGTCCAACAGCACATTTCCCATGGTACACTGGGTTTTGGAGCAAATGACTTTTGACTGCAGACCTGCGAGCTGGTTTGTGGTACGCCGGGTGTTAGAGAGTTGTGAACTAGAAGTCATTGTTTTCAGGATAGTTTGGTTTATAATTCCTTTGTTTAGAGGCCCTGTCGGCGTTGAGACCTAGCTTCAAACCGGAACAAGCAGCTGAGTTGTTCGACATGACGTTCCCCAATGATCACTCTCACCTCCGTCTTGAGCATGTCCTGGGTGAGGGGCCGCTGCGCGATCTCCTGGATTTGGATCGTGTTGTTGCTGCTATCGCTGACCTTGTACAAGGTCACGGTTCTCTAGAATTGAGAACCCGGTTTTGATAAGAAGTAGATAAATGTTTGCCGCGAGCTCACACGACCGTACCGCCACTGACACATTGTGCACAAGCTCTCAAGCGTTCACAAGCCCTCAAGCGTTCACAGCTGGTCCTTCCAACGAAGTTCAATACATGATAATCAGCAGTCATGAATCGTCCATACAAAGCCAAGAATAAGATGACATTCAAGTTACTAACTTGACAGAGGAAGTGCAACTCTCAAATATGTCTCATGGCCAGCATTTTTCATCTCATCCATTCCACTACATACAACGCACCCGACACCTGAGCTTCGTTCGGGAGGGCCGGACGTCCGCAGCACGCGCAGTAACCCTCTGCTCACCTTCTGGCTCCGCTCGTGGTCGACGTCATCTCCGGCGGTCGCCGCCAGCGGCACGTCGTCGTTGCTGCCGCCTCCCAGCAGCCGGAAGAAGGCGGCGTACAGGCCGCCGTCGGCGTACTCGTCTGCCGGGCAGCCGGGGAGACCTCGTCACAGGGCACCGCGCTGTCGGTGCGCACTGTGACGCCGACTCATCACTCGGACCTCGCAGACTGAGAGGCAGCGTCTCCAGCAATGCAGCTGGGATTTCCTCGCCATCAGTTCAGCGGATGGGCTTGTAAATGTAAGCCCATTACAGCCACTGGGCCACAGGGATTTACAAAACTTCATACTTAAGCTGTGCGCAGGTCAAGGAAATGACAATGCCAACAGCTGACGCCGCGTGGCCATCATGAGACGTTATGACCCAGGTGCCGCCTGCTGCCTTCCATGAGGATCGCCAAAAACGCAACTAAGTGCAGAAAACATATGTTTTAGGTGTTGACAGGATATGCTTCGTGTAAGAGATCGGGCAAGTAACTGCATTTAGCCTACGCCATGATCTGCGCCTCTGCTTCATGTAGCAGCACAATTCCCTGTGATCATCGTTCCTCTAATCCCCGGTGGAATAAGAGCTTCTTTGGTGTGCTGCTTTGCCGTGCTGTCAGACGGGATAGGAGGAGAAGATAATTTCACTTGTTCTCAGTTAATTGTCTGTACCGCAGAAACAGCACCTTCCCGAAAGCTTCGCGTCACCGCCGCGAACAGTGCCTGGCCCGACGCCAGCCTCAATTTGCTCCTGGTGACGGGCGGCTAGGGGTCTGCCAAACACTCCTCCGCATGGCGGCTCTATCCCGGCCGGGGCACGCAATTTTGCGCCGCAGGTCGACATCTGGCACGAAGTCGTTAACGCTTTCAAGCTGTGCACCGTCACGCGCCGGCGGCGGTCCCGGAAGTGCCGCCCGGCGTGGCTGACGCCTGCGGCCACCGCATCTGGCGGCTCCAGATGCAGAGCTGCCATTTTCTGTGAGAGTGTTCATGTTGATGCGAGGCTGCTCAGTTCTTGGTTTTCCCTGAATCCCGATTCTCTGGACGTTTCATCGGTACACAGAAATATATATCCATGTGGTACATGTTAAAGGGAGTGTTCCACATTTGTGTGCGGTTTTGACTGAAATAGCGATCTTGAAGATCATTCGATGCAGTTCACGGCTCCATCCTTCTCAACCTTTAGCTTCTGAGGTACACCCCCGCGAAGATGTGAATACTTTTTCGGAGAAACTGGTTTGAGGTCACCCAAGCGTCCAGGACGTCTCCCGAATCTTGCTAATGCATTAGCTTTGCAGCAAACCAAGGCCAAGCCAATTATAATCATCAAGTCGTTCATATCTGGCGCTGGTGAGCACAACTTCCTGATGGAACGGCCGTCAGTTGGCCCTCAGTGAGTGCTGTCCAAGGTACAATGACGCAGTCGAACAATGACGCATTGAGGAGCATGTTTACTAAACAGAGAAATTGTGTTGACTAGCACAGTCTTTTCCACTTCAAAGTACACCGATATTTATAAGTGAGCATATTTCATAACATCAGATGCTTGCTTTAAAATCTGCAACTGTGGAACATTCTCTTTAATAGAAGTAAACCCATAAATGCCTACATATACCTGTATGTCTGTATGTACACATGCATGTGTGCATATACACACACATATATATATATACATACAGAGAGAGAGAGAGAGAGAGAGAGAGAGGAGAGAGAGAGAGAGAGAGAGAGAGAGAGAGAGAGAGAGAGAGAGAGAGAGAGTCATCATCTCTCTCTCTCTCTCTCTCTCTCTCTCTCTCTCTCTCTCTCTCTCTCTCTCTCTATATATATATATATATATATATATATATAAACACGTCTGTATCTATGTATCCATATATGTGTGTATGTATGTGTGCGTGTGTATACGCGTGTCCGCATGTATGCATGTGGATACAACGATGCATGCATACATTTATCCGTCTATCGCTGGATCTGCTCATGCACCAGAAATGCATGTGTATGTGCTTGCTAGAGTAGTGGCGCCACACATGTCTACACTAAGTGGTGCAGCCAGGGAGGCCACCTATGGGGACTCGGCCCCGTCAGATTCAAGCACAATTTTTTCAGCACGGCACATGGCATATTCGGACTAACGATTTTGGAATCAGGTAAATCAGAATCAATCAATCAGAATCAGGTTTTGGAATGGGGTTTAAATAGCATAGACACCACCATGGAGAGTCGCATACAGAGCACAGGAGCCGTAATTCAGAACAAGACCATCGGATAGCCTAGTGAACATATGCGGTACGCAGCTGAAACAATTGTTTAAAACACCTGGGCAAACTGACATCGATAGCTCATTGATACGCTAGGTGCTGTAGCTATTAGCGCTGGTATGGTCTGTTAGTCTGTTCGCAATACGTAAAGGCTGGCACATGCTCGCAAAAATAGCCCCACTCGCATATTACGGTAGCCCTTCCTCTCTGCCGCGATTTCTGGCTGCACCTCTACGGACACTTCCTCGTCTGGCTTGCGAACACCCTACCGAGGATGTGGATCTTGGCTTTGCCGCCGTGGTCGTTGTCCCTCATCTCTGAGGCAGCCTGGATGGCCTTCAGGCGCTCCGTGCGTCTGCTCTTGGGCCCGGCCCACACGTAAATGGTGTCGACCGTGTCCAGGATGAAGCAGTCGCCGCGGTTCATTGCCTTCACGCTCATCTCCACCTGGGGAGCGCAGAGGACTTCAACGACCTACATCGTGTCGACGGATCCGGGTGATTTACGCCAGGCGGAGCGTAAACAGTGTGTCACATGTCATCCCCCTCACGCTCATCTCCCCCGGGCGCGTGCAGCTTCATCGAGGTGTATCACGCTCCCGGCTTCATGCTCAGCTCCAACTGGAGGAGTGCATCCAGCAGCAGAGTATTGCATCGCGTCAACGTGGACGTCGACGTGGATTTGGAACGGCTGGCACCAGCTCGGGCCAGGTTTGTTTATGTTTCGCACTGCCGTGGGAAAGTGATTTATCCCCCTGATGCGTCGTTTGTATATGGTTGTTGGCAGCTAGTTCCCTCGCTTCCACGACAAACATTCACAAACAAAACAAAAAATAGTTGTGCTTGCAATTCTTTGGGAGCACTGAGGCGATGTAACGGTGACTTCTCACCCGGGTGGCAGTTTGAGTACTGCACGCTCGGGCGGGGCGGGATGGTCAGGGGCCAATTGAGCCCACTGAAATCGCAAAAGTTACCATAGATCTAGGCACCAAACTCATGGGGTAGGTAGGTAGGCTTGCATGTGAATCATTTGGGTCAATGTTTGAGGCTTCTAGATCATGACCTTTGGCCCAAATGAAGTCAAACAAGGTTAAGGGTCAAGGCAAAACTCCAGAATGATGTCCAAAGTGCCCCAAGTGTCCAAATGCCCACGCAACCGCCTTGAATCTAAACATCTGCTCCAAGAAAAACTTCACTGGATTTCGTTAAATTTCAATTATTTTTGTTGACATTAAGACCGTAATGCTGATCAAAAACACAAAATATTACTTTAGTGTTGGAATTTTAACAGCTATCTTTCCAGGGCTACGCTATGTGTTACGCTCCTAAAACAAAGATCTATCTGGGTCATTTTAGCTCAGAAATCTGTTCTAGCCTTTATGAAATCCATGGAAGATATCTGTTACCGTCCCTGCTGTCAAGCAATTCAAAATTACCTTTAGAAGCCACCACATAAATAATCCTATCCAGTAAACAAGCAGGTTGTCTTTGACCTCAGTCTGACCTGTATATCTGAACAAAGGTCAATGAAACTTGTCACAATTCTAAATAAGATTGCCTCTTTGTCTTACCAACTATCTCAGAGACGTACGACGTCGTCCAACACTCCTTTGTTGCGTCAGATCCGACGATTCCCTCGGAAATACCTTCGCTGATATCCACGGTCTAGCTTTGGTCTTCCATAGGTTAGCGACCTTACAAATGACATCTAATCTTTGATGCCGAAAGATCTGCCGCACAACTGCCTACAGCTATGCAAAGGCCGGCGCGACCAGGCTGCGCCGTTCGGAAATTATTCTAGAAATACGTCGGAGGATCAAACTGACTCCACCTACCCGAGCGCATGTCAAAACGCTGGGCGCTGGTTTGCAGATTTCGTTCGCAGATGCAAGCAATAATTTCAGTCCATTTGGACCTTTGGCCTGAAACATTCTTGTACAGGCTATACCAAGATGCAGCGTTTTAAAAAAATCGGTACAGTGTATTTGTTAAAGTGTCAATCTTTTTTAACCAGCATACCAAAGTCACATACCGAAAACGGTCGTTACCTACGGTCGATCTAGTCCCACCACACTGTTCTCAGCTGCCTGTGACCGATGCCCTCCTGATCTGGGCAGCCTGTGCCCCGCTCACCTGAGTGACGCGGATATTGCGGCGGCCCTTGACCTGGAAGAGCGCCGGGTCATAGTCGTCCGGATCGACGTGGCGGAAGCCGCTGGCCACGCCGCCCTGCAGGTACTGAATTCCTGCCGACATATAAACATCGCCGGGGTCGTCCGGGGGTCAGGATAAAAGGCATTCGCTGCCCGGCGGCAGCTGCCAAGAGCTCTTGCCCGGTCTCGCAGTGGCGGCCAACGCCCCCGCCGGGGGGGGGGGGAGGGGGGGGGGGATGGACGGGGCCAGATAGCAACGCACGGGGGCTCACCAACGAAGCCGAGTCACCAACGCCGCATGCATCCCGGCGCCACGCTGAAATGATATAGCACCAATGACGGCGGCGCGCCTGACGCGTTAAACACTCACCGACTGGGTCCATCATAACACCGATAAGCATATGCCCTGAAGCCGTTGCCGAGGCTTCTTCCAAAATATAAAAGCCTTCACATATGCGTCGGGTACGAAGCGCGCAATCTACTGCCGGACGTTTACAGGACAAAGTGTGGTGGCTCTGACCTTTCTTGAAGTAGGAGAGGAAGAGCCTGGACTCATAGCCTTGCACCTCCCGGTGCTGGACCGGCTGGCCGCCCAGTGAGTCGTCCAGCTCCACCGCCTTAATTGCTGCAGTGCCCCATTCATCCTGAGCGGCACACGGGTAACAGCATGGTGCTGTAATTGACCTTATGGCTTCACGATACACTCTGAAACTTAGGCTACATGGCGTCGCATGCCTCTCACCCTAGCAGGAAGAGTGGTCACCGCGGGACGCGAACCCCGGTCCTCTGGCAAACACGATCTTCTAAATACGGTTGGTTTCATGTCCGTTTAATCACGGTTGGTTTCAAGGGAATGATGTCGTCAGCTTAAGGACTTTCTGTACATATAGATCAGCAATTTGTCACTGAGAGTGAACAAAGCCGAGTGTAGCCACTCTGGCATCGCGTTTTAATCTGTCTAGTGATAGTTCGAATTTCAAATAAAAACCAGAAGCCCTTCCCTCTGCCCTAGCGCGCATTTTTCGATGCCAATGTTTCATTTACATTAACGTCACACTGATTGGCCGTTTTCATATCGCAGACTGATAAGGAGGGGGAGGGGTTTATACAATGTCCCTGGCGTCTCTAAACTAAGAAAGACAGAGTTGAAAGAAAAACACCAGTGGATCGGCCTCGATAAGATCTCGCAATTGGTGCCAGCTTTAATGTAATTTTGTCAATAATGGACCCCATTACATGCGTTTTGAGCATACATGTATGACACGTGGCTTCGTTCATGCAACAATGTCGGCCCATCGCTCGTGTTCCGCGGCAACGTCGGTAGCCGCCCGCCCACCCGCTCAGGCCGTGGATCGCTGTGCAGTGTTCCTTAAAACCGCTGCTGCTCCAAAACCAGAAAAGTTAGGAACATGTCTTCGCATCAAAACGCGCGAATGATTATGGGTAACCACATTAGCCTATGAGTGCCCATAGGCTGATTGAAATTTGGGGGCAATTACACAACATACCAGGGAAGTAAAACTCCTCTTCATCCTCGAAAAACCTTGGGAAGGTTGCACTCTTCCCTTATCAGAACGAGGCTAACTTTCTGAGTTAAGGCTGGGCATGGAAGGATGCCTTTATCACATCAGATAGCGCGCTGCTCATCATGATGTCCATTGATCAGTTTTATCGATACAGTAAGGTAAAAGTTTACTGCACTGAACCGATGCGTGTTAACATAGTTGGTTACCCCGTGAAAGCCGTTTGGAATGTACAGCCAATAAACCAGAAGGACATCGGATGCGTCCGTCGCAGCTATTACACACCAACACATGGCTCTAACATATCAAGACCCACATCAATCGCCGTCTTAGTTCTCAGTTCAGCACGACACACCTCACTTAAGCTTCCAAAGCAAGTTTCTACCAGTGACTAAAGACAAATCGCGTCAACCATCAATTTTCCTCCTTCGTTCGTGGTATTGAGTCCTTAAAACATAATCGTTCCTTTTTACAGCAGGCATCGTTTCATTAATTGTCATGTTTATAAAAAAGGCATCCATCCTTTCGTTGAATGACAATAACTGTCCATGTTGCTGAAGCGTGATGAGCTGAACAAATGAAATCGTCAGTGACGAAATCCGTTCCGTTTCGTGCCTGTTTGTGTTTCGTCTGATGTTTGTGCCACGAAAATCGCACGAAACTTTTGTACTACGTACTATTTCGGAAATAGTGCAACGAGGCTAGACAATCTGGGCCTAACAACAAAACGTCTCATGGGCGGAAGCATCTTGCCTTCCCTCGTAAAAAGTAGCACAGGCACCAGATGGCAACAAATTATGCACAGTATATTGTTTAGGAAATGTGTTCAACTGTTACCATTTGGACCAAAATCATTATGTTGTCTGTATGTATGCAGCTGTACCTGTCAGTACGTATGCTACACCAATATGTATCTATACGTATATTGCACTGGTCGTTCATATTTGCTTATCTAATACCCATCAGCGAAGTAGACAAAGCACAGCAGATAAGAGAAACTGACAGTACTGACTGATGCAAATAGGGTGCCGTCACTTCGGACGCCGAAGAGGCGTTGAACACTATGCATTCGATGGAAGTAATGTCGGCGGTGATCTAGCCGCCAATAACCCAGGGAAAGATTTACCAGCCAGGAAGGTCAGAGGAACGCCAACAGAAACAGACAGCTTCTGGAAATCGTGATCGAAGCTGTTGGTCGGTTCCGCGAATGTCGCTAAATCTGTTATCCTCCCGACATCATAAATTATCAGTTGAACGTCTCAAATTGCTGAAGATGGCGATTGAATGGCCAATGACTTATAAACATGACGACCATGTGACGGAGCCGGCGGACAGCTAGTGAACACCAAGACAACGTGCCAGAACCGGCAAACAGTTAATAGACACCAAGGTAACGTGACGGAGCCGGCGGAGTGAACACCGAGGCAACGTGACGGGGCCGGCGGAGTGAACACCGAGGCAACGTGACGGGGCCGGCGGACAATAAGTGAACACAACCGCCACATGACGGAGCCTGCGGACGGCTAATGAACACCAAGGCAACATGACGCAGCCGGCGGACAATAAGTGAACACAGCCGCCACATGACGGAGCCTGCGGACGGCTAATGAACACCAAGGCAACGTGACGCAGCCGGCGGACAATAAGTGAACACAACCGCCACATGACGGAGCCTGCGGACGGCTAATGAACACCAAGGCAACGTGACGGGGCCGGCGGACAATAAGTGAACACAACCGCCACATGACGTAGCCTGCGGACGGCTAATGAACACCGAGGCAACGTGACGCAGCCGGCGGACAATAAGTGAACACAACCGCCACATGACGCAGCCGGCGGACGGCTAATGAACACCAAGGCAACGTGACGGAGCCGGCGGATAGGTGGTGAACATTAACGCAACGTGACAAAGCCGGCGGACTACTAGTGAACAAAACGGCCACGTGACGGATCCGGCAAACAAGTGAGCAACTAGTGAATGGAAGCTATGGCGCACGCCGTCATGAAGTCTGATAGCCCAGTCGGGAGCGCGCAGGACTTCTACGTGTGCAGCCTAGGTTCGACACTCGGCTGTGATGGTGATGGTGATCTGGGACTCAGTGGAAGTCCCATCGACTGGAAGTAGGCCATGCAGCCCCCAGGGTAGCTGCGATGCACTGGTCTCTGTGCAACGGTTTAAACACTTTGCTCGCTAGCGCTCAGTAAGCCAACAGAGCTGCATGACAGCGGGTACCGCGCAGCTCTTGAAGAAGAGTATAGAATCGCTTAAGCATTTATACAGCATACCCGAAGTATTTGCAAATAGTTACTTGTATAAAAGAATGCAATGACATATGTAATGCAATCTTTCGTACCGCTGGTTCTCACGAATATGCCCGAGAATGGTTGAAGTAGGCAGCGAAGGGCAAATACAGCACAAACTGGCTATGGATGGGTAAATAAATTGACCCTCTTAAGCCAGGGATTTTGATCCGTAATCGAGGAACGCATCAGCATATCAGCACAATGTTCCGTACCCGAGAATGCTACCGAGGACAGTGAAGAGTGCAATAGGTATAGCAACATTATATTCCCTCTTCCTGCGTAATTGCCGACGACGAAACGCTCACTTCTTTCGCGGCCTGAGTCGTAACACGCCAGTATGCCATGCTTGCTCAGGCTAATGAACCAATAAATCGCACGCATAAGCAAATCATTAACCCAATCACGTCGGATGGCCGAATGTCCCAGGCAGAGAGCGGGCGCGGGCGTCGCTGACAGCCGCCTGGCGCCGTGCCTGGAGCTCTCGCGCCGAAGGACAGAAAAAAACTCGGGAAAACAACCCCCGCCGTGTCAAACCAGGCTGCAGACGGCATACACGGCACTGCGGCACCAGATGCTGCTGGCCTGCAGCACCAGATCATCCCGGAACTGGCGGCCCGACGCACCGCAAAACTGCGCGGGTCACTGACCTGTTGTGGTCGCCTTAAGGTCCATGCAACCGCGTGGTTAACTGAAGGGGTGGAGCGGTCCTTTGAATGGAAGGTAATGAAAATAGCGATGAACTGCAATAGCTGTCTTCGAATAAACAATTACATCACGGCTGTGTGTATTTGCATAAGCCATATAAACGCATACCACTGCCTTTAAACATGGCCGCTATCCTCCAGCGCATGGACCACAATGCACTGGTCTAAGCAAGCGACTCAGGTAGTGAAAGTATTCTGCCACTGATGTCCTCGTATGATGAGTAACGTGTCAATTACAGTGCTTATAAGAACTGCATGTGCCATACTACGCTGGCAAGAACAAGGCGATTTTAGCAGAATTAGCAGTGCGCGGTCCACGCTGTGCCACCCCGGACAGATCACATGATAACGGGGGCGTCCAGATGGAACCACAACACCTAACAGCTGACCAGTGGTTCTGACGCGAGGTGTGATGCACTGGCAGCGTGCCAGCCGGCCCCAGCCTCCACGCCGGAGAAGCAGCGAGCGGCGAAAGATACCCCGTCCTGAGTCAACACGGGTGCTCCTATCGAGTGGCAACGGCACTTTAATTCCATACGATACAGCGACGTATCAGTGAGTGACGAGGCAGTTAATGAGTGTGCTGATGGAGCAAGTGGGAACGTTCTAGACCGATGTGCAAGACCCACGACCGATAGACTGTCTTCTAAATCGCACAGCCTAGCGTTGAGGGTTTTCGTTTGTTTGCAAACGGAGTTTTCCGCATATCAGAATTTGTTCTTACTCCACAATGTGCCTAACATGACAGTGAAAATTATCAGTGGAAACACACTTGGCCGAGATCTTTAAAGACACTGTTTGCATGTAGCGGTGAACGTTGTTTTCTGCCCCGTCCATGCCCAGGCATGCATACACCGTGCATGACGTCTGTCTCTGGCATCTGGCCCGAGTCCCACTCGCCGGCTGTGTCTGTGGTGATCTCACCGCCGCCGGGCTATTTTCTCCCATCACTAGAAGCCGAGCAAAAACATTGCCCCGTCTCCGAGAGCTCACTGCCGCAGAGACGTCGCACAGTGTGCGGATCATAGGGCAAGCCTATCCACTACACAGTCTCAGAGACGCTGCGTAGTGTGCAGACCATAGGGCAAGCCTATCCGCTACACAGTCTCAGAGACGCTGCGCAGTGTGCAGATCATAAGGCAAGCCTATCCACTACAGAGTTTCAGAGACGCTGCGCAGTGTGCAGATCATAGGGTAAGCTTACCCACTACACAGTCTCTGCCCCGTCAATGACCAGTCGGCCGAGGTCGAGGCTCTGGCGTCGTCGCGGCACTTCCCCGATCGCACGCCGTCGCGGCGAGACGCCAGCCCGCTGGAGGCCACTCGCCGGCGGCCGGCCCGGCCCGTCTCCGGGCGGCGCCGCATAGCGGACGCAAATAGCGCCCATGTCGCCGGGCTCGACGACTGCGACGTGCGAGCGCTGTTCTGATGTCCAACCGAGCACCGGCTTTGGGGTAAATTGTGTTGGCTCGCTTGAGGCCTGGGATAGGGTGAACCCTCAGCTTGGGGGACAGGGGAGGCGCGCATCGAAAACGATTCGTGGTCACTGATTCGATTTTTTTCTGAAATGGTCGTTTTAATATAACACATGCCTCCCTGGCATCGAAAAACTGAGGGAAAGACATTATAAAACGTCGCCGGATAGGTGGTTAAGTACCCAAAATGTGCGCTTGTTTTTCATAACTATGATGCACGCACACTAATAATATATATATATATATATATATATATATATATATATATATATATATATATGTGTGTGTGTGTGTGCGTGTGTGCGTGCGTGTGTGTGTGCGTGCGTGTGTGTGTGTGTGTGTGTGTGTGTGTGTGTGTGTGTGTGTGTGTGTGTGTGTGTGTGTGTGTGTGTGTGTGTGTGTGTGTGTGTGTGTGTGTGTGTGTGTGTGTGTGTGTGTGTGTGTGTGTGTGTGTGTGTGTGTGTGTGTGTGTGTGTGTGTGTGTGTGTGTGTGTGTGTGTGTGTGTGTGTGTGTGTGTGTGTGTGTGTGTGTGTGTGTGTGTGTGTGTGTGTGTGTGTGTGTGTGTGTGTGTGTGTGGTGTGTGTGTGTGTGTGTGTGTGTGTGTGTGTGTGTGTGTGTGTGTGCACGCATGTATGCATGCAGGTAGAATACCATGACTCGCTACAGCCAAACCCCAAAGTTGCGACTTTCACGCAAGCTCTCACTAGCGACCAGCTAGTGAACTGGGGAAATACTAGCTATAAGTATACTAATAATACTAGCTAGATACTAGCTAAATAGAAATACTAATACTAGCGACCAGCTAGTCAACTGGGGAAATACAATCAAACTGCATGATTGCATAATACGAGCTACTTATGATACTCTCTTTTCCAATAAGCAATCTGTTAAGTCATGCCGTTGTTTTACCTGGGAGGAATCCTTGCCAAGCCAGAAATGGATGTCGTGAACCAGTAGGTCTCCTTGCAGTTTGGTCTGCAACAACGCGTTCGAGCGTGAACGGCCGGTCAACCCCCGGTCTCCGATGCGGCGGTTACATGAACGTAATGGGACCGTAAACACACAAACGAATCATAAAGCTCCTTGGTCACCAATTCATTCACTTACATGCCATTATTATACGGACTATCCACTGAACTGTTAAATCAGTCAGACTGACTTACTGAAGTGAGCACGGTAAGGTGTTCTACGGCAAGTCATTTGGGCGGTCTGAATTCAAGAAAAGTGCACCGCTAGGATATAGCCCCCATGCTCTTTGCTCTTTGCCAGTTTGCTAGCGGCAGTTAGCTTTAATTCACGGGAGCTGGACAAAAAACCACAAAACTCGTGAGGTGGTGCCAAAACCAATGAGTCACGGGTTCCCAGGCAGTTGCCGTCCCAAAATAAGCCAGGAATCATTAGCTGGTGAGGAGTCAGCCGTGTTTCCTTAGATAAGACAGGTTTCACGCCCCCACCCATCCACCCCACCACTACCCCTGTCGTGCGCTCTGTTTATGGCCTCGATGACAGCTTTGGGAGATCAACCATCGGACCGTTGGTAAACTCCTCGGGGATCTTAGTCAGAAGTCGGCAGGCTTGAGATGAAAAGGAGCAGAGACTAATCTGGCATGTCCTGAACTCGTATTTATGAGCTTTTTGAAGCTGTGTGTCACTTACCTTCAGAACGATGAAACAGTCTCCAGAGTAAAACTTGCCGTATTGGGTCTCTTTGTACGGCTTCACCTCAAATTTCTGAAACAGAGCAAAAAATATCACAGATGGTCTCAAAGTGTCATCAAATTTCGCCCCCGCATGGTGCTGCTAAAACCACAAACATCCGTAATCCTCAACCTCTCCGAAACTAAACATCATGTTCACGAGCCGATACGGTAAAATGTCTTTTGATGTCGCCTCTAGCTTTCGACTCGTGTATTGAAGTAAATGAAAAGGCTCCTGGGGGCATCGTGGAGCTCTTGCACGGTGTGCTGATAGCACATTACGCAGCTCTTACATCACCTTCCCGGCGAAAGGCATCTATATCGGGTGTTGCGCATCCGATCTTTAAGAGTCGCAAGACATTTGAAGCACACGTGCTATTTGTGTAGCCCAACTTATTTTCTGTAGCAAGGTTGTCTTTCTTCTGACCGTTCGCTGTTCCGCCGGCACTGCACAAATAGTGGGCAGTGCCCAGATAATCTGAAGGTTTGATACCACTGGAGCAAATACAAAATGTGTGTTTATTCTGTACCAAACCGGCAGGGATTAAGACAAGCAAGGGTCGCGGTATGCAAAAAACGGATCAACGCCATCTAATGGCGTTACCCGCCCTATCAGCCAATCAGCAGTCTGGGCTAAGGACGCGTGCCAACGGCACCATTGGCATGTAGCTTTGGTTTCAATCATCCACGCTAACGACGGCTCGCGGCTCGGGCAAAGGCGACGATCCAGGTGGGTGGCACCCGTTCGGCCAGCCTCTGGCGGCATGCCAGGCTTCTAAATAGACCCGGACGGGGGAGTGCTCCACATCACTGTCCGCACCGCGCCACTCACGCGCTGGCTCCAGCTGAAAAATAATTGTCTGCCAAAAACTCACGTCGAACCACTCAACCGAGGCACAAACGCGTTCGGCTTCAAGCAAGATATGAGGGGTGGGATGTCGACCGGTAAGTTCCGTGTAACGTAAACATGCGTGCCGTGTTACGCCGACGCATCGTGAACATCGTGAGCGCGATGGGTGGTTTGTTTTCAGTTTTGCTTCTGATAACAATCGGTTGACGCATCACATGCTTAACAGATCAACAGGCGCAGCCGTTTTCCTGCCGATGACGTTCCGGTTAGCCAGATCCTTGGAGTAGGATCAACACACCGCGAACAGAATGTGCTGAAAGAGATGATGTTCCTCAAACAGGGTCGTTTTACCTGAAACAGTGGCCAAGCTCTAGGACATAGCTGATAGCAAACGTTGGTTGGCTCTCGCGGTTAATGGGCTTACCACTGATTGTAGTCCCGATTTTGCTTTACGGTATATTAAATGTGCTTTGCTTTCGTTCCGTGCTCGCAAGGAAGCAACGTATCAACAGATTTTGACTCCTAGTTAGGATCATTTAAATATTTGGAAATTGGCTTTTTAAGTTATTTTGCAATACGATTTTACATGGCCTGGGAAGGGTCCGTGGCAAGGAAGTGTTTCGCGATAAGGTGCGACATGCGAGCGAATGAGGCTGATTGTGAAAGCTCAACTTAATGGATCGGATCTACTAACCATTCCCCTTTCTTGATTGTGTTCAGTCAGCTCTTTAGAGCTTATTCATGTTTGTGTAGACATCATCAAGTCACTGATGCTGGTTTACAGCTATGACTCATCTTGGACTGGACTGCACTGTTGCATATTCCAGCGAGACGCTTGGGACCCTGGTTCGTATTTCATTCCAATGCGAAAAATCCTTCCCGATAGACGTCGGATAAAACAAAGCGCACTTTGCCTCATCCACTATTCGCCGAGCAGAGCAAGGCTTCAGGTCATTTAGCAAGTCTCCAACGAGCATGATGGCATTTGTTTACCCGTCATCTGCGTTTGGTACGGCTCAAGTGACCGTAGTCGAGCGAAGCATCCTAGCTCATAAACTCTGGAGTAAACACCGCGGGGTGGAGGACGTTCGAGGACGAACGTAAAGAGTAAATGCTGCCCACAGAGCACCGGAGGAGCCGGTGCGCGTCTATTCTCGTGCTTTGTACGCCGCCAAAGCCAGGGGTTGATCGAGTGTTCCAATTACGGCTGAGTTCGCATATAGTGTGTCGTGCATACGACTGCGCTTACAATTATAATTTGGCGATTGTACTCGTCACGTCGGGCATTCTTCAACGCCGTTCTCTGCAGGCTGTGAAATACATATTAACCTACAGAGAGGGGGCTGATGCTGCTACCTCTCTCCACCCAGAGCTTCATGTTAACCCGCGGAGAGGGGCAGATGCTACACCCCACACTCACACCCAAAGATCTCGATAACCGCTCATCCGATCTTGATGGGACAAATGCCATCCGATTTTTACAATGTTGCATAATCCACAATTCAGATGTGTTCAATACAGGGTTAGATTGACGACTAGTCCAACGATTGCATTTTTGAATGGTCTCTCTGGCCATAGCCAGTTCCTATTTTTTGTGCGTAAAATGTAGCACAGCCTGGAAAATATGCTTATTTCATGCGTCCCAAGTTTAAAACCAATTTAAAATCTTGGGCGGATCCACGACGAGGACAGGGGTAATTTTTGGTATAATAAATGTGTTCCATATTCATTTATTGTGAACGCAATAACGTCAGATGTGCACTTTGCAAGCTTTTTAATACTAAATACGTTGCACAAGAGGGTAAAAATATCAAGGTTGTACGCCAATACGCAAAGGTAAAATAGCACGGGCCTACGTACTATAAGCACGCTTTGCTTGTATCGTGCTAATTCCATAAAATGTCGCAGGAACGGAGGCCTCGCCGCTCCCGTCAGGGAGATACTTTGAAGTTAATCCGGTTTTCATTGCAACACACAATTTCGACTTTTCTCTCTCTGTGGCGCGATGCCATTGTCCAGTGAGCTGCATGTAATGCAAGACATGCACATGCTGTGTTCGAAGTGCGCAAAGCTGCAGCAGTCATGTGCTTTGCGGAAGCAAAACCACGAGGTTTTGAAAGATGGACCACAACATTCCGATAACGAACAAGTTAAGGAGATGAAATTATATGACTGGGAGCCCCCCCCCCCCCCTGAAAAAATGTACAGAGTGACTACGAGTGACCAAACAGACGGACCTACCTCGATGCGCCAGATCCATGTCCTGGGCTCCTGGCCGACGCCGTCAAATGCGGGGTCCATCGCGGGACGATACGCGAGCGGGGCGGCGCTAAAACCTCTCCGTCACGTAAGCTGAGGAGGTGTGAGCCGAGCCAGAGCGGTCAGCCCCAAGCTTCTGGCCGTCTCCGCCAGGGGCGCTGACGGCCGCTGACTAAACTCGGAAGTGGCAGCAGTGATCGCCCTCTCCGCTCGTTTGCTTTTATGTCGCCATGCGGAAGTGAGATATAAACAAATGGAGCCAAGAGGCGTACGCCATGTTTCGCGGTGGGTCGGGCACAGCTCACTGCTATTTTGCTGAAAACCAAGTTATGCGCGGCACAAAGGCGCGAACTTTGTCGCCTGCTATAAGATATCACAAATGTGTAACATTCCCTTTAAGGGTGCGTTGCTAGCGTAAAGGCAATAAAAGATATAATAGTTGAGGAAATCAAGACACAATCAACGAAATCACCGAATTTGGACCGGGCATAGAGATAACTGCCCTGTTGTCACTAAAAACCGTTTCATTTCATTGCTTGTTTTGCATCGCCAAATGTTGCATAATTAATTACTGCTAGAAAGGTAGCACAAACAACTCAGAATATCGTGTTGCCATCTATCTATCCGATCTACAATGAACAGTCTCCATCTTGGTATAGACGGATAAATAGTTGTACTTACTCAGACTTTCTCTCACGGTATCCCCAATATTGCAGCTGCCGCATTCTTAAACTTCATCTCATAATACGTTGTTAGACATCAAACTCGAGAAGGAAGCCAAGCCGTTCCTGACTTGTTCAACCCTGTTCCAAAACCCTTTTTGATGATACCTGCCAAACAACATCTGGTAAACCCACCATATAGTTATTTTTTATACGAAAACACTTAAACATATCCAATATTGTGTTCACGAAACAGCCAGAAGATGCCGCTGTTACTTGCAGACTCTATTAAACAGATCAGTAGGTGAAATGACTGTTTGGCCCACCAAAAGAAACGCCTGTGCAACACAGACTTGCGAGGTTGTGACCAACTGCCCTGGCTGGGTCACCAGTAGCCAGGTGTGTGTGTGTGTGTGTGTGTGTGTGTGTGTGTGTCACACACACACACACACGCACACACACACACACACACCTGTGTGTGTGTGTGTGTCACACACACACACACACACGCACACACACACACACACACACACACACACACACACACACACGCACACACACACACACACACACACACACACACACACGCACACACACACACACACACGCACACACACACACACACACGCACACACACACACACACACACACACACACACACACACACACACACACACACACACACACACACCCACACACACACACACACACACACACACACACACACACACACATGCACACAGACTGTCAGACTTATGGTCTAGACAATCCCCCCCACACAATGGTCATGGATGATTGCCTAGAATCTCCACCCCTTTACAGAACCCAACGGCTTGGGGGTCTGGAAGTCTGCTATAACTATCTGGATATTAGTTCTGTCGTGGCCCTAATGCCCCGAGGCAGTTGGGGATTCGAATGCATGGAAGTGATAAAAAATTGTCAGGGAGCGCAAATACCGCGAGAGATTGCTGTCATATAAAAGTGGTTCTGACCGGTGCTGCTACGGAACGCACCACGATCCTTGAAGGGTTTGCTAATGGTACACACCCTTGAAACGGACATAGGTCAATTGTAACCGCGAATGGTGGGGCCAGAATGTGAGAACGGACGGCCAAGACGGTAAAGGGACTTTTTATCGTTGGATTGTATTCGTCATGGAAAGTGAATGGTTTATATGAGGCTTTGCAAGAATTATGATGCACCTGAACCAAACATTATTAGGAAAGATACATTTCAACGCACCAATATCTTCTTAAGCCAGAGGAACGCGATTGTACGTAGACCGACGACCGTGGTCTAGTGGGCGTGGGCTTTGATTTAAGCAAGTAATTTGCTAGTCACAACATATTGTGTTAGCTTCATCAGGAACCAACCGGCTTTTGAGCCAACAGCAACCTTAAACTTTTTCACGTCGAGACGAAATATATATGCAGCTCCGTCACGACAGCAGGTATATCCGTGGTGACTATTTATTTACTGTATTACTGTATATTGCTATAACAAAGAAAAGGTAGGAAAAGTCGTTGCTAAATCATGTTGTGCCTAAGAGCTGCGCCATGTAAGAGTTAGATAATCGATTTATTTATGTTAACCACCTTGCAAATGCAAATGCGATTTGACACGCCTCTTTTGGGGATAAACCCGTAGGTTTTGTCTTACACTTTGCTGACTCTCGCATCAGATTGTCCGCGTATAAAATGGGTAGTGAATTTGGAGGATCAGTTAGCCTCCTAAGCAGTGAACTATTCTTGCAAAGCTCTCTTACGCTATAATTACTGGGCAAGGCTTCAGTCTGGCACCAAATCTAAAATGCACGAAAACCATGATAAACCTGAGATAAGCCCATCGCTTGTTGTAAGTTCAATCAAAATGGTCGGTAAGTTTTGGGGCCGAAGCATTTCAGCTTTGTGCTTATGTATGCAGTTATTCGTGATAAGATATTTTTAACTTTAGTCCTGCGGGCCCAAATAATAAAGTACCAGAAATATCAAACGAAGAAGTGAGCACATGATGAGGAAACAAGGCCACTTCCCGGGCAGATTTTACTTTTTACTTGTTAGGAATAGACGACATTCCACTAGTTTCGCTCCCGTGTACCCTAGTTGTGTGTGTTTTATTTGCGTATGCAGATTTGGCACCAAATCAACCAGTCTAATGATGTTCAATAATTAGTTTGGGAAATCCTTCACCGCACAATGCAAACACGATTATGCCGCGCTATCATCGATGCAACACGTCTTCACGATACGCGAGAAATTTAAGAGTTCCAGTTCTATACGAACAAGCAAGGAAGCGAACCAGCCCTCCCAGGTCTTGGTCTTTGCCACATCCATTTTGCTCATTCGCTGGCTCGCTCACGTGCTACGCCTGAATCAGCGCTGTAGCTGGTGGGTCAAGCAACGCATGTTTTTCGGGACCCACTTTTCAGAAGCGCACCCGAGCCCAACGACTCCCGTCTGAAATAATTAAGTGGCACCGCGACTGGCAGGAAAAAGAATCAGTGTCAAAGAAATGAGCATGTTTAAGATAAAAGAGGGCACAATGCGGGAAGTGATTCCAGCCCACAGTTTTTCTTGACATCGACAGTTCCCCAAACAGTTTTAGAAATCGCCACCCATAGCTGGCGACGAACCGATGAAATGCGGCATCCTTCCTGCGCTGGTTGCATGCGAAAGAATTGTTTCGTTCATGCAAGTAGAGAAGTGTTCTAATGCCGAGCGTATGGTGATACATTGTATCTCGACTTTGCGCACATTAACGATAATATGAACAGCCCAGCAATTTTTCGACAGTGAGACTCGCTATGTGATGTCATCTTTATGCATATCAGTTTTTTGCAGTATGCACTTTAGCTTCAGTTTGTCGTACACTGTAAAACAACGGAGGTTTGTAGCGCCCCAGTTGGCTTTATTCTTGCACGTGCAGCAAGGCCATATTTCTCTCTGAGATAAAAGTGACTAGAATGGAGTGAAGACACGCAACACACGGTCACAACAGCGAATACGAATCACAGTTCATAACCACCTCGACATGCGCGCCAGTCGTTATTAGCGGTTGAGCCATGGACCAAGCGTCACTTAACTACACGTAAAGTATGCTCGACCGTTACTGTATCACAATTTACAGGTTTTTTCAGCCGAGTATTGAATACAGCTGCTTTTTAGAGTTGACGTACGGGCTGAAACATGGCATCATCCGCTTGCGAAAGAAACCATACGAAAGTCTGGCGCAGAATCAGCACAAAGGCACATAAGCGGGGTTAAAAGCATTGGTATCCAGAACCACGACTTATCAGCTTGCTTTTGTAGCCCCAATCCCCATGTTCTATTGAGTGAAAGCACTGTGGCTTGAGGCGACAACCACAAAACGCATGCGTGACGTAGCGTGCTCGGGTGGGTCAGAGACATCCTCCACCTCAGGGGAGGTGTGGCAGTCATTTTCGCTCAACTGACCTCTCTTGGGAGAGCATACGCTACCATAAGAGCTTCCGCAAGCATTGCTTTGGTCGTAGCGTGCCTGATAAGCCCGTTGGGCCAGAACAGAATCGTGCATCAAGTTCCTTTATGAAACCCCGGTCATCCCCTCTGCCGTGTGTGCCAGAGCGCGGTGCATATCCCGCCGAAGCCACAGGTTATCACGGTAGTCCCGGCCTGCGCTCAGAGCATGACTTCCATCAGCTCGCGGTGGCTTTTTTCCTTCATATCCACTTCACGGACGTGCCCCTTGTCACCGGCTATGGTCGTCACCAGCACGTGGTTTTTGGCCCAGCTAACGGACTGGAGGTGCGTCGTTGGCGGCACCTCAAAGCTGTAACTCCAGTCCACTGCGATAGATGTCGTCCAACGGTCTAGCTTGATAGCACTGTGAATGTACCATTCATCATAAACAAGTGTCTATGAAAGCAAGCGAACGTTGCAACATGCAGTAGAAATAAGGGCTTACTTGATGGAAGCGGGGCAGTGATCGAAATTTAGGAGAGGTTTCAACCAGGCTCATAAATTTGTTCCACCCTGACCACTCACTCAAAAAGCTCCAATACATGAAGGGTATTGGAATTCTTACTGTCCTGGACATGGACATTGCATGCAGCTTCACAACTTAATCATTTCCTAACATTCGCCCGTGAGGTTCACAGAGGCCCTGTAAGCCGCGTCCTCGTCGTTGGCTCTATCGACGCTTGAGCCGGCGCCGGTGACGACACTGGGCCTGCGCTCGTCGCTCGGGACCACTGGCTCACCTCTGCACGCTGCGAACGGCTGTGAGCAGGGCGGTGCCGGCTCGGTTGACGGCTACGGCTGCGACAGGGCCGTGCTGGGACACGTCCACCACCTGCGACATGATCGGACCCTTCCACACTAGCAGGCGGCCGTCGTTTGTGCCCGTGTAGGAGGCGTGATCCTGAGGAGCGTGACAGAACACCTTAAAGGACGGCATGATCGGACCCCTCCACACCAGCAGGCGGCCGTCGTTTGTGCCCGTGTAGGAGGCGTGATCCTGCGGGGCGTGGCGGAACACCTTAGAGGACGACATGATCGGACCCCTCCACACCAGCAGGCGGCCGTCGTTTGTGCCCGTGTAGGAGGCGTGATCCTGAGGAGCGTGGCAGAACACCTTAAAGGACGGCATGATCGGACCCCTCCACACCAGCAGGCGGCCGTCGTTTGTGCCCGTGTAGGAGGCGTGATCCTGCGGGGCGTGGCGGAACACCTTAGAGGACGACATGATCGGACCCCTCCACACCAGCAGGCGGCCGTCGTTTGTGCCTGTGTAGGAGGCGTGATCCTGAGGAGCGTGACAGAACACCTTAAAGGACGGCATGATCGGACCCCTCCACACCAGCAGGCGGCCGTCGTTTGTGCCCGTGTAGGAGGCGTGACCCTGAGGAGCGTGACAGAACACCTTAAAGGACGACATGATCGGACCCCTCCACACCAGCAGGCGGCCGTCGTTTGTGCCCGTGTAGGAGGCGTGATCCTGAGGAGCGTGACAGAACACCTTAAAGGACGGCATGATCGGACCCCTCCACACCAGCAGGCGGCCGTCGTTTGTGCCCGTGTAGGAGGCGTGACCCTGAGGAGCGTGACAGAACACCTTAAAGGACGGCATGATCGGACCCCTCCACACCAGCAGGCGGCCGTCGTTTGTGCCCGTGTAGGAGGCGTGATCCTGCGGGGCGTGGCGGAACACCTTAGAGGACGACATGATCGGACCCCTCCACACCAGCAGGCGGCCGTCGTTTGTGCCCGTGTAGGAGGCGTGATCCTGAGGAGCGTGACAGAACACATCAGAGGACGGCATGCCTGCTATTTTGTGTCTTATTCAGGGGCTCGATTGTAACAGCACGACTATGACAGAAGCAAGACAAGGAGTCTGGACTGTGCGTTCTGCGAGGCCGCAAAACACGCAGTTTCGTATTCCCTTCATACTGCTTGCTGCTACAGTCGGCATCACCGTCTATTCTCGAGCAACTGTAGGTAGATGCTACCTGTTCATCTTTTGAGCAGTAACTGGCAACGCTATAGATAAGGTAACGAGGTGTACGCATAAGCAGTGAGGTGACGCTGCGCCCCCAAATATCAGTGGTTGTTATCGGCCGAGGCCCCTGCGCACGCACTGGTCCGCAAGCCACGCAGAGGAACCGGCGGTCCGAGCCCTTCTTCTTCCTCGGGATGTATCCCTTCTGCAGCTGAATGTGAGCCCCGACGATCTTGCCGAACAGAACCTGCGAAAAGGATGACGTGTCGGAGCCGAGTCGATCTTCTCGCTTGGTCGTATGCTATTCTGGACGATCTAATCGCGTTTTGGCTGAGCCCCACGATCACAATTTTGACATGTTAGGCTATGACATGTGTGCCTGTTGTGTGGTGGTGACGCCACCTCGGAAAACGAGACGGCCCTTCCAGGCAGCCACTTAGACACATTCATTGTAAACAAACCGGCTTAAAAATTATTCTTAAGATGTCTTCCCTTGAATAATAATCACACATGCATGACGCCGGATGGTCCCCAAGCGTGCTGTGTGATCCGTGTGGACGCCTCGCTACCTGTTTGGCGCAGATGACAGTCATCTTGAGGTCGTCTGACGGGGAGAACGCGGCGTCCAGCAAGGTGCCGTTCACCTCCGTCTGGGCCAGCTGTATGGCTGGCGACAGAGCGAGCTGGTTAGCCGGCGCAGCTCACCGGCGACGCCCGGCATCTCGCAGCAATCGGATACAGGATATGAATGCACAGGGAACGTGCACAATGTACATCCAACATGTCCCGTTTAAAGCACATATGCCACTGTGCAGCAAACTTTGATCAGTTATGGTGCAAGGCAGACAAATGATTTTGAAGGGAATGCTTAGCATTTGAAGATATTGAAGCAACCATCAGATACGATGAAATAAACTCACACATATATTGGTATGCTTTGAAGTGGAAAGGTTGATAAAGGCAACGCAACCTCTCTGTTTCGGTGAATATGCACCTCAATACGTCGTTATTTGATCACCTCAATGTACCGCACACAACACTGATTGAGAGCCATTTGCAGGCCGTTATATATGGAAATCGTGCTCAAGAAAACTGCACATGAACGACTCGACAATCATAGTTTTCTTGATCTTGATCGCCGCACGACGAATGGAATGGCAGGATTTTAATCACGTTATTATGGCGTCATGGGATGCTGGGTTGCCTTGAAATAGTGTCGCCAAAACACTCTGTGCAAGTTCGCCTAAAAGCATAAAAACTAACGGGGTTTAGGTCTCAACAAGGACAGGGCTGTGAACTACACCGAATAATCTTCAAGATGTCTATTCCGGTTCAAAACCCCATGCAAACATGGAGCGCTCCCTTTAACATTGAGGGTTAAACTAGACCAACTCATTTCAAATCATCATCAGTGTGCATACGTTGAGATAGAGCCGCAGACAATGGCAAAACTCACCCTTCTTCCAGTTCCACACGCGTAGGATGTACTGGCCCGGCTTGTGAACGCAGCAGAGCAGGAACCGGCCGCTCGGGGAGAAACGCATATTGAACATCTCCTCATCAGATGAGGTGGGCGTCTGAAAAGTCATATCTTTGATCACCGCTCAACCCTGGGGTGCAATCTTACACCAAGAGATCACTATCATTGAAAGTTTTAGGCATAGGCTTATTTACTGCATCCACATGCTATTCTTGATATAAATTTTGTGATACAAGGTAGAAGTTAAGAAGGGTGTGTTTCACAATACACTGCCAACTATAGAACGCAATAGGGCTTCTTCGTTCAACAGCCTTGCATAAATAGTGGCATCTTTTGGGGTGTGTTAGTCTTCCGGTTGCTTCTTCACTGTTACAGTTTTACAAAGGGGGATTCAGGGATTTTACCAACAAGCGTGCAGTTTCTAACATCGTGTATTAGGCGATCCGCCTACCCTCGACTTTGTATCGTAGATATAATCGAAGAGTGTACATGGAGTACCCCGTAAGATCTCGGTAACAAGGAACGCAATACAATGTCACATATAATGATAAGTCTTAAAGTTAACATTCAGTATTTGGCCGGTTTCATCCAAAGTTGAGATGTTTTATGCACCAAACGTCGAAATCTGACAGCATGAAGGTCTATCATAATACTGTGGAGCTGCCCTGTCGTAGAGAAAGTTTTAATATATCTTTGAACCTTCGAGCCAGCATGGAGTCAAAGCCAGCAAAACCAGGGCAACTGAAGGTATTCCAGTGCTCAGCAAAGGTGTAAAATCACCATCAGCATGGCGATGGTGCCGGCCGCAGCTGCAATGTCGATGACGGTGATGGAAACGCTGTTGCCCGTCTCGCCCACGGCCAGCAGCCGCGAGTTCTCTTCCGAAACGGTAGCACAGCTCAGTACCGGCGCATCTTGCTGAATGCCCAACACCTGAGTACCTGGAATGCGGACAAAGGCTCTCAGATGGTGCAAAGTGCCCTTTGAGTTCGAATTCAATCTGCAGGCTGGTATGAGAAAAAGCAGCTTTCTTCCACCCTCGGGATTTGTCGACGCCTCACGTTTAAGATAAATCTAAGGCTGAATTTGATTTCCTCTACCGCGAAAAAGACAAAAAATCTTGCCAGCCAGGGCGGCTGAATACCTGGCAGAATACAAACCGGGGGTTGGCATCACTCGGGGATGCCATCCAATATGCGGGCCTCCTTTAGGCTCTGTCCCGTTGTGAAAACCACGTGTGCGTTTCAGGCCCCATCCCAGCCATCACCATGCTCTCCCTCATACCTCAGGCCTGCTCCAAGCCTTACTGCCTGGCGTGCGCCTTTCGTCGCGCTCCAGCAATTGGTATACGCAGGTGTAAACTGGTTTCTAGTACTTGGAGAGGAACGATCAATATATTGGGCTTTCGGGAAGGGCTCACATTAAGATGAAGGTGACTGCGCAAATGCTGAGCGAGAGGAAGTGGGAGCGTGCACGAAGAGGGGTCAATGGGGACAGAGAAAGGTGGAATGACGCGACTGTTTCAAGATTTTTTATACACTTGTTACGCTGAGGAATCATTTACAGCTACGGCCTAATATAAGACAACTCTAACATGATTTAATGAGCCGAAGGTACCAGACATTCCAGGCTTAAGGTTAATGATTTCGCACAACTTGGACAATGAAATGGCATGCTTCAACTTGATACGAAGAAACTATTGTGGATCCTAGCCGTCTCTGTTGCCCTCTACATACAGAGGCTGAACAGTTCGTTCGTGTATTCTCTAGTTTTGAGCTACACGCCCACGAAGATATGTAGGCTATTTCGTGCATACTATTTCAAGGTCACTAAGGCATGCATGACGCCTTAGAAGCGTCATTTGAATTTTGCCGCCCCACTGGCTATACGGCGGCCAAAGCCAAGAAGAACACGATTGTCAAGTAGAATAGATCTGGCGTTCGTGAGCATGGCTTCCAGATCAAATGGACTTCAGCCAACGTTTCAATCAACGTTGTGCGCACAGTGGAAGTTTCAAAGACGAATCACATTTTGTGCTTAATAATACAAGGAGCTGGAGATCAGGTATAACAAGAGTTGTAATCGAATAACTTGAGAAAGCGCCATAATTGGGTATGTGAATGGAAGTGCACACCTTAAAATCACGGGGAAAATACGCAAAAAACGCCACGAGAATGGGTCAAAACACGATATTATAACTACCTGGTTGTTTGGTTCAGCAAACGCCTCCAGCGCCGCCACGGCTATCTCTCGGGAGATTGAAGTACTACAAGTGCTTGCTTGAGCCAGTTTAATTTCGCGCCGCCAGTTTGGAAGACCTTTGGCGTCATGACGTATCGGTTTATGACGTATCGCTCCATATACGCTCCATGACGTATCAAACGATAGCGTATTGAGGACCATATTTACTTACTAGAAAAACTATTGACTTGAGCAGCTCTTTGAACTTGAAGTATGCCAAGAGTTGTAAGCGAGCTTAGGTCAGCATATCTGATGTTTTCTTCAATATCTTCAGATGTAGAATATTCCCTTTAATATGTGACCATAGGCAGCACCGCCTTGCATGGCAAAACTCCACCCAAGCTGTTCGAAATAAATTTTGATCGTCAAAAGGGATCATTAACGTTTCCAAGAGGTCCATAGTAAGAGCCCTATCTGACGGGCCTCGGATTTTACTGGCCGATCCCGGGCTCCAACTTTACGGCACACTTGCATGCAGGCGTGAGGCTCGTTTACAGGCCAACAGGGTCACGCACAATGTTGAACCGGTTTTGACAGCAACTAAGGTGTCCCTTAATAACCAGGTGGTCTTTGAGCGAATAAATGGGCCCCGTATAGCTAAAAGGACCGCGAGAATCCAAAGGGTGCTGCGGATATAAACGGTTCTGAGCGCCTAAAAAGGACCCGGGCGTACCGTGGAACCCTGAGAACCCAGAGGGTCCTGCGGATATAAACGATCTTGAGCGCCTAAAAAGGACCTAGGCGTACCGTGAGACCCTGAGAACCCAGAAGTCGCTTTAATGGTAAGAGGGCTCTTTGCCAGTCAGGGCGACCTGTTAGTAGCCTGACAAGCCCCGAGTAGCTAAAAGGTCACTGAGTGGCCATAAGGACATGGGGCAGACAAGAGCCATGAGTGATTTCTAAGAGCCCTAGCGTCTAGAGGGCCCTGGAGCGATCGAAGGGCCCATGAGAGGCCAGAAGGGCTTTTGGACGCAAGGGGTTTCTCGATACCCCCTCCTCCCCAAAAACAAGCATCCAAAAAATTGTGGAAATATATCTTGGCCCTAGTGAAATGAACAGGTCAGCTAGCAACTGTCCAACGAGGGTTGATCCAAGCCTGGGGCAGTGATGACGCAGCAATGCGCGGCACGGCCTCACAGCGGACGACACGATGTGGGTGGTGGGCTCAGTGGCACGGCCTCACAGCGGACGACACGATGTGGGTGGTGGGCTCAGGGTGCTCAGGGTGATGTGGGTGGTGGGCTCAGGGTCCGCGCAACAAGCTACGCTTAGCAGGTACGCCGAACTCAAATCCGCCATGCAGACCATTCAGAATATTTTGTCATGACCAGCATCCAGTGCAATCGGCTCAGGGTGCGTTAGGTTACCCCAATCACTTGTCATTAAAACAGGTCTCTGTGTTGTTAATAAAAATATGTGTAATGCAATAACTGTCACACACAAGTGAAGTACATTCAAGCTTGTTGTTAACTTCTCCTCAGCTTGCTAGTTCTTTCTGAACAGCATATCTAAACCTTTGCCTGATGTGATAAGGGAGGTAAACTAATGGAACTTTTGATTAATCGTTTCATTAATGGAACCCTACATTATAAACATAGGCTTAAACATATAAAACTCCACACCATTGTATTCAAAATTAAACGATGGATACACATTTATGTGCCATGTCGCTACATAGCATCTTTCATGCACAAGAGCATGCAAAGTTGAAAAAGCTGGTTTTCAGGAAAACTTGACCTTTGACTTGGTCTAATGGGCCCAATTTGCGGCTGAAAACTTGTCACCTATCACAAGATTGCGTTGAGAATAATACGCTGTGTTTTCGAGACACTATGTTTCTTGGCTTAAAAACGGCAGGACATCACACACGCCATATGAGTCTGCCTTATGAAAACAGGCGAATCATGGTTAAGGCTACACGTTTTTGGCTCCCATCATTTTTTTACGTATGCTGTTGTAAAAAATGGTAAAATCATCAAGTACACCAAAATGACACATTTTATTTGAAAACCCCATGCATTGGTATCACCAATGCAGCACACCAACATAGCCCTCTATTCAATTATATTCTGGGCACCTACACTACCCTAACGCTGGTTTGGGCCACCTCAATACTGCCCTCATATTTCTAGGTGGAAAGCACCAAAAACAAACAAATGAGGAGCAGCTGACAATAACTTAAAGCCTATCTGTGCTGGGCTTTACTCACTGAAGAGGGCCACCATGCTGCTCAACTAAATATTTTTGCTAATAAATGACAAACAATCCGAGAAAAATTTACCTGTATCAAAAACAAAGGAGACCACTGGTGCAATACGGTGATTCAATTTGACCCCTGATTTGAAGATCTGTAAGGCTGGTAGCCATGCTTCATCAGCAGCAAAACTAAAACGGTATAAAGTGTCACCTCAGAGCCATTCCCACCTCCTGGCATTCATTTCAACAAGGAGTTTCATTAGCCTCCAACACTGAAACCACGTATATTTTCCAAAGAAGAAGGCTGGGTACTTGCGCCCGCTATGGTAGGATAACAACCTTTCTTGTTCCTTGAAAAGGCACAAAATCACAGAACAACTTCTGCCTCGATCGGATGATCTCGCCGACTTACTGTGAATTGCAATGTCTCTCGCCGCTCAGGACAGGATACGGAGTCGCGGTATCACCAATGAACTCAACAAGGCCAAAAATTCACCCTTGATAGGTATTGATGAAACTGCGAAGGCAATGCGCTTGCGAGGTCGCCGGGCGTTGAAGGTCGCCGTCCAGCTCATAGCAGTCGCATCGCAACGATTGAAACATGCTCTTGAGGCCTCATGAATCGCCATATCTAGGCAATTTTCTGCACTTTGTACGGTCTAATTTGGAACTTCGGTGACTGTGGACTCGGGGCTTAAGATTCGGGAGTAGGCTGGTAAAAACGAGTAATCGGCCGGTGCGCCGGGCCATAGACCGGACCATAGGCAATACACTGACATGTCACCGATCTGTCATCGAGCCGAGTGACTAACTAAACATCATAGGATATTTTTGTCACCGGGTTGCAATGAAACATAAAAATGTACCATGGTTTCGTAGGGTACGGTAAAGGATCTGTGTAGAAAGGGTTGCTGATGCTATGTAAAGAAGTGTGTGACCATACAGGCCTCGTGTTAGATTCAGCAATGACCACTCTAATATTTTGTGGTGGCTGTCATCAACATTCTCAGTCCAAAGCATTTTGGCACCAAGCGTTACGTGAAAATATAATTTTTTGTCGCCAATCTTATCCACCAAGTTAGTGCGCTTGACATCTATGGGGAATCCTTTGAAATTCTTCAGTGATATAGACAATATATCTAAGACAGCCGCACATGAGGTAATCCCGTTCAGTGCTCGCCTTCCTTGATGTTGTAACCGACGATGCTGGTGCGGGTGACGACGGTGTAGATCTCGCCGTTCTGCATGTAGAGCCCGGTCACCTTGTCGCCGGCCACGTGCGGCGGTCGGGGAGTAACTCCATGCTCCCCTAGTCCGTCCGGCGTGGCCGCCCCAACCATGGCGGCCACCTCTGACCGACACGGAAACTACGGTAAGCACGACATGCTTCGGGGGTGGCGCATGCGCAGAATACATTGAGCACCTAGCATTTTACACGATGGATGACGCCTACCAGCTATCGCTGTCTTGTTTCAAGCTTGAGCCTCACACTAAGGCGCCCACAAAGACGATGCGTGGCTGGAACCGGAAAAAGCTTTCTTGGTGGAATGTTTGTGGACGCTGAGCCGTGCCTCAGGATGGCGCTGCTCAGCGCGGTGGCCGACGCTGAGTTTTGTTTACCTCTGGGGAGCCGTCCGCTTACCGAGGTCGTGGACGGTGAGCTCGTCTCCGGAGTCGGGATCTAGGGGGTTGGTGTAGCCGGGCACGTACTCGGAGGTCTGCACACGCTCCCACACGAGCACACTGCAGTCGGCCCCGCCCACCGACACTAGGTATTGGCCGTCGTACGTCCAGCGTACGTTGGTCACGTGACTGCTGTGTCCCATGTACTTGCGGAACCGACACCACTTTTCCTGGAAGCAAACAGCTCAGTACACGTACAGAGTATCCAAGTACCTTCAATCCTATTGTATCGCGGCCAGCAACCAGCGTCACTGGTGTAAAGGACGAGTAACGTAGGCCGAATCACTTAGAACTACAGCAACGAGGACCACAACGCACCACCACATTACCACAGCCGGTGCCACATCACCTGGACTATATCACCCAATGTCACCCCGGACTACATCATCCCAGGCAACATCGCTTCGGACCACATCACCCCGGACCACGTCAAAGGTCAAAGGTCAAAGACGTCACACGCCCTGGCCGTGGCCGCACCTGCGCCGGGTACCGGAACAGCTTGATGAGGCCGCCGTCATCGCAGGCTGTGGCCACCACGGCCTGGTCGGGACTGCGGTCGAGCGCGTTGATGTCAGTCAGGTCGTCCTCTGGCGCCCAGACGCCGGCCACGCGCGGCCCCAGCACGCCCGTCTCTGTGTGCCAGTCGAGCAGCGGCTCCACCGAACTGGAGATCAGCTGACGCCGGCCGCCCGGGCATTCGTAGTAGAGCAGCTCGCCGGCACCTGGCCGGGCAGTCAGGGTATAGGGCGGCCCATGAACAAGTGACCGGGCACTCGGGGTATAGCGCAGCTCATCGACAACAAAACAAGCACCCATACAGGAGCAGTCCTTTGGAACGGGACGAGCCACTCTTGTCATATGAGCCTGCATTTCACAGTATATGACAGAACATGTTGGCTATAAATCTTACGGATAACAGGTTATTTTCAGGACAACTGAAGCGGGACTCGGGTTTCAACTGTGCCTGTTATTGCTAAACTAATGGATGCGACGTCTGCCTCATGCGAGGCGGAGCATATTAACTGGCACCCAAACACAGACCGCATTTATCCGATCCTCACCTACACTTAACCTACTCAAACAGGACCAGTGCCTCTCTGCCTAGGCCTAGTCCGGGCGAGGCTGTGGCTGACCTGAGTTGCTCCTGATGAGTCGGCCGTCGGCCAGCCAGTCCACGTGCGAGATGTAGCTGGAGGCGTCCTTGCAGACGGACACGCGGCGCAGCTGGCCCTGCTCGGTCCAGTGGTACAGGTCAACCACGTCGTCATGGGAGGCGGCCGCCAGGAAGCCGTGGCCACGCACCGCACCCGGCGAGAACTTCACGTCCGATATCTCCGAGTCGCGGTGGTGGACCGAGGCGGCGCGCAGCAGCGAGTCGGCCGAGTACAGGCTAACGCTCCCTGTAGAGGGCAGGGGAGGTCAGCAGCAGGTCGACAGTACACAGATACCTCCTACGAGGACTCCTTGTGGAGGTCAGAGGTCAATAGCAGGTCAGCAGTGCACAGACACCTCCTACGGGGGCTTCCTGGGGAGGGCAGGGGAGGTCAGCAGCAGGTCAGCAGTACCCAGACACCTCCTGCGGAGACACCCTGTGGAGGTCAGAGGGGATCGGCCGAATCCATGCATGCGTCAGCAGTGTCCATGCTGACGAGCCTAGAAGTCATACAAGGTCGGCCGATGAGGAAGAAAACGCATTCTGATGCCTACAGAAACAAGTCCGACGTGTCGTAAGCAATATGGCACGCCAATGACAGCTTGCTTTACATGCCAGGCTATGCCTGCATAGATATAAGTACTACGGCTCGTTATCGGTAAGCTTTCTCCGGATACCTCCAGCATAGCTAAGTGTAACAGCGAATGCACCGCAGAGGCGGTTCATTCGCAGCCAGTCTCAGCCTGCTCCAGGCTGTCACAGCATGTCCCAGCTCGTGCGAGCCTGGCCGGGGTATCTCAACCAGCCCCACCCTCCGCTGTGCCCGTCAGCTCAACGCAGGCCCGCCCGCCGCCCGACCCACCGTCCAGAAAGCCGACGGCCAGGCAGGAGCCGTCCGAGCTGTAGGCCACGCTCCGGGCCGACTTGCGCAGGTGCGCCACGTGCACGTGCGGCCCGTTGCCCCTGTTCCAGAGCCGCAGCGTGCGGTCGTCGCTGACGGTGGCGAACTCGAGCGTGCTCGGGTGGGTGGCCAGACCCCATAATTCGCCCCGGCTGTGGCCCTGCCGCGGCATCCACACCAACGTCAGACGGGCACAAAAGGCAGCCAGCTGCTTCAATCAGTCAGACGGCTGTACAGAGGGATGGATGTGCTTTCGGTGTGAGCATATTACAATGTTCGCAGAGCTGATTGTTTATGTAACGCCGTTTTTGCGGTTCGTTGCTGTCTGTACTTGAACAGGGTATGACCTTTTGATTTCAGCTGTTAGATTTCTGATGCAAATACACATAAAATTGATCACAGTACATCCTTCGCATTAAATAATCTGAAAAAGTTTTGAGCCGGGCATGCACAGGCAAGGGCGCGTCAAATCTGTTTATGTATGATACGGATGTTCTTATGGAATATCTAAGAAAGTAGGAAATGCTATTAAGATTCATTAAAACAATCCTGATCGTGGTGTTAAACAAGTGAACCAGTTATAACTGACCTTGATCCTTGGCACTCACCGACATAAGTACGCAGATGGAGCCATCCTGGGCGATCTCTACAATTTCTCCCTTTTGCGTGCCAGCCACGATGCGACCTTCACCCATTGCGCATGCGCGAATGGAAGGATGGTCGGCGCTCAATGTGACTTCGCTGCCCGTGACGTATGCGTTACTGATGGGATAAATCTTCAGGCAACGGGAGAATTCCTGGTCCCATAAGCAGATGTAGCCATCTTGTCCACCCGTTAGATAGCCCTGAAATAGGCTGAGATGTCTTCTGACATGTTTTTTTACGACAAATGACGTTTTTGGTGACCATTAGTGCACATTCTGCCTTTCTATAAAAGACAATTCAATATAACAGTTGAAGAATACTCTGTGGACGTCACGCAGCGTTTAAATTATTCAAAGCCGTTATTTCAAGTAACTTGCTATGGTGAGCTATGACATAACCAAAGAACAATATGAATTCACATGCACAAAAGAAAGCTGTGCATATAGTGTTAGTTGTGATTGCTCCCTGCTAGTCCGTACGTCTTGTAGAGGAGTGATGCAGTAGAGAGGTCCACGGTGGGCTTTCAGCGTCCTGCTGACCCTGCCGTTCTCCCAGACGTACACGGTGCCGGATGCGCCGCCGCTGAAGCTTACTCCGTCCTCCGAGCACGTGCAGCACAACATGGTGTCCTGGTTATCTGGGCAAGAGGTCGGATAGATGTGTCACGCGTCGTACAGCACAGTTGTCCTGGTCAGAGGACCATTGCAGTGGTCAACTGTCGCACAGCACACCACGGCATCCTGGTTATCTTGGCGAGAGGTGTTTACCTCAACACCCATCAGATAGCACGCCACCCGGTTCCGGCCATCTAAGCAGGAGGCATATTTGGTCTAGTCATTATGTGTTAGTGATATATATATATATATATATATATATATATACATATATATATGTACGTATATATATATATAAGCATATTATTTACGAATATGTATACATTTTCATTATCTGCAAAACGGTAAAGCATTGTATCGTTGTAGGTAAAGCATTGTAGGAAACACTCACGACAAGAGGTGGGATAGAATTTCCACAAGGCGCACAGCACCACCAGGCAGCACAATATCACTAAGCAGGGCAGCACAGTGCCACCAGGCAGGATAGCACAGTATCACCGGGCAGGACAACACAGTATCACTAGGCAGGACAGCACAGTATCACTAGACAGGACAGCACAGCATGACGAGGCAGGACAACACAGCTTTACATAGCGCCCTGTCCTTGTTATCTACCAAGATGTAAGGGGGGGGGGGGGGGTAACAGAAACTCTCACGACGAGCACCGCAGTCTAAGTCGTGTGCACGCACCAGCAGCAGCCATCTGTTTTGTTTTTGAGCGCCATGCGTGTGGGACGAAATGTCCTACGCTGCGTCCGCTGAGGTCGGTAGCTGGCAGCCGCTGTGCTACCGGCTGCGGGTAGCGCCGCGCTCTGCCGAGCTCTTACCGAGGTTGTCGAGCACGCCCCGTTTCCAGATGAGGCCTGCCACGGGCAACGCCGCCCTCTGCTGAGTTCTTACCGAGGTTGCCGAGCACGCCCCGTTTCCAGGTGAGGCCTGCCACGGGCAACGCCACTCTCTGCCGAGCTATTACCGAGGTTGCCGAGCACGCCCCGTTTCCAGGTGAGGCCTGCCACGGGCAACGCCACTCTCTGCCGAGCTCTTACCGGGGTTGCCGAGCACGCCCCGTTTCCAGGTGAGGCCTGCCACGGGCAAGGCCACTCTGCCGAGCTCTTACCGAGGTTGCCGAGCACGCCCCGCTTCCAGGTGAGGCCTGCCACGGGCAACGCCGCCCTCTGCCGAGCTCTTACCGAGGTTGCCGAGCACGCCCCGTTTCCAGGTGAGGCCGCCGCCGGAGCGGTTCCAGAGGCGGACGTGCCGTACGCCGGCCGTCATCAGCCGGTGCGGATTCACTGGGTCGAATGCCAGGTCAAACACCTTATCCGAGTGACCCCTGCGCAGGCACACAGGTGAGGTCTGAGTCACACGCGTTTCAGTGAGCACATAAAGCACATACTTGCGACAAACATGCAACTTTTTTACATTTTGTTGATTGCGGAACATTTTTACAAACTGTACGTAGAGAGGGAGGGGACGAAGAAACATTGATTTTCAATAATTATTATATTCAAGTAGCTCCATAGATAGATTTAAGTATATAAAGTATCCTAAGTAGGTACTCCGTAGATGCAATGCTCCCTTCACGCGCACAGGGTGCCGAAGAGCCGTGTCTCTGCAGTTGACACCTTGCGGAGGCGAGCTTCTGGCCGCTGCGCCAGTTCCAGAGCACCAGCGTGTGGGCGTCATCGCCGCCGATGCTGGCCAGCGTGCTGCCCTGCCGGCTGAGGCCCAGGCAGACCACGGCGCGCTGGTGGTGGCCCTTCAGCACCGAGAGCGTCTCCAGCGAGTCGGCCGACCAAACGTGGATGGTTGGTTGAGCGCCCATCTGTGAACCCATACTGTACGATCAGCGCGCGGCTGATCCAACGGTGGCCGGCTCAAGCAAACTTGATCATAGCTAGTCTACATTCTATGTCAAAAAACGACCTGCAGACCTGACGTGCTGGCAAGACACTGTCACAAGCTCGTGTGGTTGGAAACGCGTCTTTAATGGCGAGAAATAACGTAATTCTCTTTTTCATTCCAGTAAGTCAGTTGTCAGAGCGTCGGGCACTATGTCGTCCTTTTGCTGGGATGCCGCCTCATCTGGCCAGTGGCCGCCACGTGCTCCTGCTGGGAGGCCGCCTCACCTGGCTCATGGCCGCCACGTCCTCCTACTGGAAAGCCGCCTCACCTGGCTGATAACCACCACGTCATCCTGCTGGGATGCCGCCTCACCTGGCTGATGGCCACCACGTCATCCTGTTAGGAGACCCCCCTCACCTGGATGGTGGCCGCCACGTCCTCCTGCTGGGAGGCCGCCTCACCTGGCTGATAGCCACCACGTCATCCTGTTGGGAGACCCCCTCACCTGGCTGGTGGCCGCCACGTCCTCCTACTGGGAGGCCGCCTCACCTGGCTGATAGCCATTACGTCATCCTGTTGGGAGACCCCCTCACCTGGCTGGTGGCCACCACGCACTTCTGCTGGGAGACCCCCTCACCTGGCTGGTGGCCACCACGTCCTCCTGCTGGGAGGCCGCCTCACCTGGCTGATGGCCACCACGTCATCCCGTTAGGAGGCTCCCTCACCTGGCTGGTGGCCACCGCGCACTTCTGCTGGGAGGCCGCCTCACCTGGCTGATGGCCACCACGTCATCCTGTTAGGAGACCCCCCTCACCTGGATGGTGGCCGCCACGTCCTCCTGCTGGGAGGCCGCCTCACCTGGCTGATAGCCACCACGTCATCCTGTTAGGAGGCTCCCTCACCTGGCCGGTGGCCACCGCGCACTTCTGCTGGGAGGCCGCCTCACCTGGCTGATGGCCACCACGTCATCCTGTTAGGAGACTCCCTCACCTGGCTGATGGCCACCGCGCACTTCTGCTGGGAGGCCGCCTCACCTGGCCGGTGGCCACCGCGCACTTCTGCTGGGAGGCCGCCTCACCTGGCCGGTGGCCACCACGTCCGTGCCGGGCTGCATGGCCAAGCACAGGATGTCGTCCGTGTGATGGTTGTAGAAGCGCATGCCGTTGGTGGTCGGGTCGTACACGATGCCCAGCGCGGCCAGATGGTACACCAGGTGGCCCGACAAGCTGAAGTGCAGGTTCTTCCGCGTGCTGTGCCCCCGGTAACTGGACGGAGCACGGGACTTTGTGTAAGAACTTACATGTTCACTGGAGGGGACGAAATCGTCCCAACCATCTTTATATTTCTTCTTGAGCATCAGAACAAATGTCGCCAACAAACGGCTTTGTGTCTGTTTACGATTCGTCGAGGAATCCAGCAAACAAAACTACATGCCCCACAAGACACTCGTCTGGGGTTTGTGATGAAACGAGGCTGTTCATCCATTTCTATTTTGAACCAGTCCATTGAACCGGTCCAGTCCACGCAGTTACAGGCCCGTCGGAAGCTGACCCTGCCGTTCGAAGTGGGAGAACGCCAGGCACTGCAGCGAAGAGAAAATTCCGTACGCATATCGTTAAAGTCCTTCGCACCTACTCATATATGTAAATGACGCAAAACTTTGAACGTGATGGACCTGTGATAAAGCTTCAACGGTGCAGGGGCTTTATAGGATTAATTGAGTGCTTGACATATGAATTTAAGAGCTGTTCAATTTCCTTTGCGTCAGCCGGGATGTGCAATTGGCGGCTTGGTGGCAGGCGGGGGTGACGCGCCGCCAACAGTAATTTTGCCTCGTGATCTTTGAGTAAGTCGTCTTTGCACATAATCCATATATGATCCACATGAAGTATTCTGCCAAGGTCTATGACTGTGATGAAAAGAGCAAAGCGCATTGGCGCCCCTTTCCAAGCCGCTGGAAGCTAGCATGGCAGGCCAATTGTTCGAGGGTCAAATACTAAACATGCGTGTATTCACGACGTCTGAGACAACGCGGTCAACGACCACGCCATTGTGTACGTTATGTATTGTGGAAATGTGTGTATGTTATAGAGACATGACTGTGGTAAGCAGAGCTGCTTACCCGTACGCAAACTTGAGCTTGAGTCCCATCTCCGGCAGCTTCGTGTCCACGTTCAGCGAGGAGCTTTTCTCGGGCATCTCGCGAGTGGCTCCGACCAGCTGGCGCTTCTCCCGCTGTTTGCGGGTCAGTCTAGGGAAGAAAACCGCAGTGAAGTTTACTTCACCAAAGAGGCAATGGCAATCATTCACCTAGGTGGGAGGCGCAAGAAAAAGGAAGCAACTCTGCAGAGATCATTTCATGGGCTTGTTACGTGGTGCACTGTTTGTTAGGCGGTTGAATTCCGTACGAACGGCTTTGCACGGGTGTAACATCCCCCCTCCCCCACGGTCGATGGGACTGGGATTCGGACACCGGTGAAAAAAGCTCTGATTCGCCAAGGTACGTCAGTGACGCCCAACAGGACGCCGTCAGAGAGCAAAGTATCGACGGATTTGGACACGTGTTATTCGAGAATGTAAAAAGAAGAGACGAAAAAGGCATGCATCATGCCCACATGGACTTAGTAGGACACTTTTCATATAAGTCACCCTCGATACGAATTAAAAAATTTGGGTTTGGTTGTAGCATTTCTCCACTAGCTGGGACATGAAAAAATCCCGCAATGCTGTTCGCCCATGACTAGCGTAGCCCCAGTCATGAACATCGTGATGTTCCTGGGGAGACTTCAGTAAATGCGACGTCTGAGAACAGTGCCGGCTTAGCGTGATATACAAAAGTCAAGTCGCCAAGCTGCCAAGTTGGGCTGTCGAGGCTATAACGTCATTGGTGGACAATAACTTGGCTTGGCATTGTATGCCGTGGGGAAACTGGAGCTTTTTACCTGCCTGTAGTTAAGAATCTAAAGCAAAATTGACATGAACTGTGTGAAAATGTGTACCTTTGATGTCATGATACTTAAGCGTCTGTGAGCTTTAGAAATGCAACGTAACGTGAAACTTACACAGATTGGCTTTTACAAACATCGTTGATAATCACCAAAGCCAACAAGAAGCGCGTTTTAAGGATTGGTGAAAGATCTTAACAAAAATAAAGTGAATCAGCCTGGCACTTCGTCGGTCCAAGCCGTGGATATTTTCTCACCGCTAGATTTGGAGCTCAGCAACGTATAAGACTGGGCTATAATAATGTTTTGGCCATATAAATGACCCGATGAAAATGGACCCTGGTACCCTACAAGTCCCAGTTACATATATGTGTCTAGTGTCCATACCGTGACGGCTTGTGCAGGCTTTGTTCATTTTCCACGTCCGTGTATATTTCGGGGAATGATTCGTTGTCCGTGTCTGCCTCGTCGTCCTCGGAAACCTGCACTGATCTTCTCAAGGCCACTGGAAAGCACAGCAGATTATATTTGCACTGTATCAACCGTTATATAGCAAAAACAACTGGGGCTTGCAACTGGGGCTTAAACATATTCTATAAGACAGTACTCAGAACAAGCTGTTTATATATTTCCCGGTACCTTTTTACACATTTATCCTTGGCACCTACACGCACCCATGTGGCTGGTTTCTGTCGCTCCCAGGTGGTACTTCCAGACGAATACGGACCGGTCGCCTCCGCCCACCGACACCACGTGCGTCCGCTCCGACGTGAATCGAACACACGTCACGTGCTCCGAGTGGCCGGGAAACGAACGATATTTGCTGCCTGCGGAGAAAGGACCAGCACGGTCACGTGATCTGGCTGGCAGGGAAGTGATCGACGTCCAGGAGAGCAGTTTCCTAGTCATTGTTAGCGAATCCCCCGCCAGTCTCGGGAGAAAAGAGGGTCAAATCCGGGGAAAATCCGCTTTTGTGTCCATTGGACGTAAGTTGGGGCACTTCTTTCAGATTAGCCCCCTACTCATGCTATGAAACTACACTCTTGTCGCTATCCGCAGTTTTCCACTAGTGGAAGAAAGATCGGTATCTGCAGCTTTCCGAAAAGCGGGTGTCGTGACCCATTCAGAAACTACGGACCAGTTGGGTTAGGCGGCATTGAAAATGGACGATGAGGATAGATCATCGCCATAGGATAAATATGGAGCAGAACCACTTATCGTCAAAGGGCTGCCATCGGTAAAACCATTTCGTGCGTTACGGAGTTGGTGTAATCGATGTAGTATGGATGGCGAATGGAAGTGGTGAAAGGATTACAAGGTGTGATTATGAAATAACAAGTTCAAGTTTCTGTACCATGGCAAGTTCACCGTTTGTATGTGTATGCATGCACTTAATTCATACAGCTGAACTTTTTCATCGCCACGATGGGCAGACGACTCGAAGGGAATGTTCCACATTTGAAGATATTGAAGGAGGCATCAGATATAATGAACTAAGCTCACTTATAATCATTGGTAAACTTTTGAGTGGAAAAGATTGTTCCAGACAACAAAGTTTTCCATTTTGTTACTATGCTCCTCAATACGTTATTGTTGCATTGCGTCATGGTTCGTTTGCGTAACACTGAGGTGCTGCGAAACTAGCCATGAGGACTTGCCAGCGAAATTTCCAATCTTGCACTCACTTTTAGTACTTCAAACCCATCGAGAAATGGCAGCACGGTTCTGAAACTGTTCGCTGAGGCAGAATTGTTGCATACTTTTTTGGCGCTTTTTTGTCTTGGCGCTTTCTCGTTGTGCTCTTACATATTTATCGGTGAGTTTAAGAAGTTTAATTGTATTCCACATACTCGCTTATAGTGCCTTCTTAAGTTTTTTTTATCACAAGTCGTATTTCCATAGTAACTAGAAAAATGTCCAGCTTCTGTTATAGCACAAAACGTAGCTCGTGATTGACACCTGAACACATTGCTCAATGTTGATGAAGAGCCAACTGACGTCCAAAATAGTTAGAAACCGTGTTCATTAAGGCTGCATCTGGGCTGCTCGACGATACTAATATTTTTAGCCTTAAACGCCGCTTGGCCTACAGGGTGCATAGGGCGGCAGGATTTGAATGGGGCTGGTATGCCGTCGTGCATGTCTGGTGGTCAGAGCCACGCATGGAACTTTAGCCCCCGCCCCCTCTCGTCTTTTCTCACAACGACGCTTTTTGATCTAATCCGGACTACGTCCTGGTCTGGTGTGTTAGTATCTACTTGGAGTTTTCACCAGTTAACTCCCTTACCGCCGTCAGGTGTTATGGAGTCCTGATTTAGGGTGACTGATGTTTAGCCTGGAGTGACGTGGGCGTCACAGCCCGAATAATTCCCTTGCAACTGCTGGGATTCGAACCAGAGTTTTCTGATGCGGCCAATTGCTCCAACAAGTGAGCTAACCAGAAAAGGGAATATCCTCGACTCGTCCTTCTCGATTAGCTCTCTCGATCATCTACACACAAAAAAACAATGAAACTCAACATTCTGGGTGCATTACTCCTTCATGACCGCCAACGACTTCTAAACAAAGAAATGAATCAAATCACTGAATTATCTCTTTCGAGCAGCACCATAAGTAAATCACTTAGACAAGGAACAAGACACTGTTGAATGGCGCGGGTATTGGGTGGTTGGCACGCAGTGTTGTGATTTGCTGTGTTGATTGTGTTGTTCACAGAGTGTGTTGCCAATTATATATTTTGCAAGGCTAAATAATTGTTTGTTGTTGCCAAGTCAAAACGGCAGTGAGTGCTGTCCAGTGAAAAGCTTATAGCAATAGACTTAGCAAGCAATGGACTTCACGGCAACTAAATCTCCACACATGTACACTTCGAAAATGCTGGACAACTGGAGAAGTCCTCTTACCTCGTGGGCTCGTTAGACTTCAGGGCTGTATCCACCAAAAATCCTCCTATTCCGGCCATTAAGTTTTAATATTCTTATGCATGCAGTTCGTATATGGGAACCTAGCTTACTGCGCACAGCCCTAAAAAACTAGGTGCGCTTTGCATGCAAATACATGGAGCTTATTCATCCTCGTCGGGTTATGGTGGATTCTGTCATTTTAAGGCTAAGTATTTCGAAGAAAACATGAGAGCATGCACTTAAATTGACTGATAAATACCATCAAATCAAGCAGGAGCTTAATTCCCAGCTTATACACGGTTAGCCAGGTAGTTAATAAGATTAGCTGATAGCTGAGGACTAATACAGAGTTTTTGCTTTGTTTGTTGCAAGGAAATGCAGAATGTCCTATCCTTAAAATCATATTAAAACGTAACGTACAGGTAAAATAATTTTCACAAATTCAATAAACAATCGAAATAAGATGCACGACGTCGGCGGGGCGTAAAATTTTGTCCAACAATGACAATAATGGATTCATCGGCGTAATCGCCATAGCCGCAAATTCAGTCATCAGTCGGTAAGAAACAAAACCCCAATAAAAATGATTAAGACTTAGGTCCCCATTACCGGCGTGGGCCACCCTATAATGTGGAACAACCGGAGACCAATAAGGACGGCACCTGAACAATCGAAACTGCCGTGGCAGACCGACAAAGAAGCCCCAGTGAACAGTGAAGGGTCCTCATAACAAGCGAGAAGAACCTAACACCAATATGGTGGGACCCCTGAACGATCGGGAGCTCCCCGGAAGGCTAACTTATAGGGTCCGGCCGGAGTACGGGATCCCTTGAACAAAGGGCACTAGCCGAAGATCAGTGTACATGAATTAACGCCCCTGTGTGATCAAGAGTGCCCGGGCAGGTTAACAGAGAGAGCTCTGACAAGTGAAGGGTCCTCAGCAAATAAGCTCAGAAAGGGAAAGAGCCATAGGTCAATGAAGAGGACCCCTGACCACCGAGCGCCTCAAAGCGCTACCTTATATTGGACCCCAGCAGCAGCACGGGGTCCTCCAAGCAAGTGGAAAGAACCCGATACCAATGTGAAGGGCCCCTAAGCAGCCGAGTGTACCCTGGCATTTGAGGTCCAGGCAGCAGCGGCGGGGCGAGAGAGCCCGCTTACCCCGCGGGCGCAGCGGTTCTTGCCGAGCCCGCGCCGCCCGCCATGTCTCCGGCCGCGGCGCCGCCCCCCGCGTCTGCGCCCAGTCCGCCGGTGAGCCCCGGGTCGCGGCCGCACCCAGGCCGGACACGGCCGCTAGGCGTCTAGGTAATTTAAAGTAACCATGCTTGATTGTACGCATTACGTGATCATCAGTGGAATACCAGGTTGACTGTGCCATCTGTTGACGAAAGAGAGAAATAGCGGCAGGACTCAAAGATGCTTCTGAAGTGTTATCTAGCGGCAGGAATCCAAACTAGCCTGGTTGCCATGGATACTGGACGTTTTGAATACTGGACTTCACGACTCTGGACTTTGCGACACTGAGCTTTGTGTCCCTGGACCTTATGAAAGTCCCCAATGGGCACGGAATTGGATGCTTTCTGGACGTTTTGAATACTTGATGCTGCAATCCTGGACGATATGAATATTGGACGCTGCGATCCTGGACTTTTTTATGGCTCCCCGTCACTCACACGCCACACACCACACCCCCTCACCGTGACACCTCACTCACTCACCACTCACGAGTCACGACATTTATATATATATATATATATATATATATATATATATATATATATATATATATATATATATATATATATATATATATATATATACAACATACATCTCCAAGCCGTCGTGAGTGTGGGTGTGTGCCACTGGATGTGGGTGTTAGCGCCACCAGGTATTATAGCCGACGTTCCACAAAAACGGTTTGCCCCCAAAAATGTAGAACTGCCCCTGGTAGCACTAGTGTCAAGTATAATTGTTGGCAGTAGAAGTGATGTCGTATTACTGCTGTCGGTTTTTTGTAGCAGCACTAATGTGGTGAAACCGCTGAAGAGCAAACTTCCACAGCTTTTCAATACTGGGAGAAATAATGACGCGCGCCGCCGAGAGCAACACCACTGCGCCACAGCATACCCGCGCAGGCGGCGCATTTTTCAACACTCCGCCACGAGGCGTGTAAAAAATGCTACGTACTTTGCCACACCATTACAAACACAGCGAATTGGGCCTCGGTTTAAAGGCTGATCAATTGACATCCATGTCTACCAGCAGGCATCTCCTTTGGGAATGGAGTATCGCCGATGTCGTAGTTCTCACCTTTCTTCCGGCAGGGGTACCTGAAGAGCTTGACGAGGCCGAAGTCGTCGCCGGTGGCGATAACGCCGTTCTCCACGTCCACGTCGGCGGTGTTGATGTCGGTGAGGTCTGAGTAGCGCGGCCAGATGCCGTGTATCTCGGGCCCCAGCACCCCTGTCAGTGTGTGCCACTCCAACGAGTCCAGCACATCCTGGTCCGTCACCCGCGAGCCGTCTGTAGTAGAAGGCGATGGAGTTAAGAAGCTAGGTGACGCTCAGTCGGGTTGGGGAGGCGACGAGTGCTATGTGGTGGCTTGAGAAGAGCTCTCCGGCGGGGGCATCTTCTGTACAGCACAGCGGTGTGGCTGGGCCGGAGTTTGAACATAATATGTCACGTCCGACCATCTCTTACACACTCAGGGGATTTTTTAACGCTCATCGCTTCCTCAGCAGTCTAAGTATCACTCAACGCCCGTTTCTTTGGTCAGTAGGGTGAACGTGAAGGAGAGAATGGCATTATGATGAACAACCAGCGGTAAAAACAAGAGGGGGATTAGAGAGGGAGCGAGGGAGATGGAGAAAAAGAGAGAGAGAGAGAGAGAGAGAGAGAGAGAGAGAGAGAGAGAGAGAGATAGAGAGAGAGAGAGAAGAGAGAGAGAGATGAGAGAGAGAGAGATAGCAAGGAGAGAGAGAGAGAGATAGAGAGTAGATAAAAATGTGAACGATCTAGATCTATGAAGCAGATTAAAGCACGAGAGAGGCAACTAGAGAGAGATATAAGTTATGCCCGGGAAAAGGCCAAAAACGAAAAACCGAAACGGGCATCAGCCACGTGCGAATTGTTTAAGAGCGAACCGACATCGGCGCTTGGCGTTTGTAGCCTAGTCCCATGCCACACAAGTTATGTGTAAGTGTTCAGCTGGAGCCGACACAGCCCTGACCGTGAGCGGCGAACACGAGCCGCTCGCCGGCGCCGCTGTTGAGCTGCACATAGTCGCCGTGCATGCTCCAGTCCAGGTGGCTGATGTAGCTGGAGGCGCCGGCCAGCTCCGCCTTGCGCCGGTACCGCTCCGTCTCGTACACGTCCACGAAGTTGTCGTGCGAGCCGACCGCCAGCCGCGATCCGTCCGGCGAGAACTTGAGATCCGATATGGCCTCCTTGCGGTCGGAGATGCGGGTCACCTCCGACATGTCGCTGCCGGCGGACGGAGGAGGCGGGTTGGTCACGGGGAACAGATGGCGAAGTGCCGTGGATGGCGGCGGGATCGGTTCTCGGTTCTCTTGATATTTACCTTGGAAAGAACATGACGACACTGTTTTCATGTTCCGTGGCCGTCTGTATATGTTCATGGTAGCTGCAACTTTCCCAGGCACATGCAAGTTAGGACTCGAGATGGCACATTTAGATACCGTAACACTGAAAGCTGATATCAGGCCAGTGTTGGCGATACTGGAACGGTGCGTGGATTTACATTGTCGACACTTTTAACGCCTCAGGAAATGGTGGGTTCATTGAGAAGTAAGCTATAAACCGATACCACGTCTGGTGCCAGTCCCGTGCTGCTGAGAGGCGACAACAACGCATCTACGCTGGTGCTCATACGTGTCATACATCGGGTTTCCATGACTGAGTACATCCCTATTAAGGGTACGCTGCCTACGCCAGATGTAATGCAGTTACGCCGCGTCCATCACAACAGCCGGTGTGCGGCTGTCAGGCTCGCATCTCGACGACAATGCCTTTGGACGGCTGTGACATAACCCGCTTACCCCGAGCGGAGGATGGCCACCGTGCCGTACTTCATGCCGACGGCGATCTGTGACGAATCGGGCCGGACGGCGCAGGCCATGACCTCCAGGTCCAGACGGGTCGCCTGCAGCGCCTCTCTCTTCTCGACGTCCCACACCCTGCAGCGGAAGCCAGGTCAGCGCGGCACGGCTGGATGCGGCGATCGCCCACCTGGAGCGCGGGCGGCAGAAGCTGGCTCATCGCCCCATCAGTGCTCCGTTCAGGGCATCTGGCCATCAGGGCAACGTGCGGGCATGCACGTCTTAACTTGCGCAGGACGACCAGTGTCTTGACTTTCAAGAAGCCTTCTCTCACGAAGATAAAATGACCAGTGCAGTAGACATCGGTTTGTGTTGGCATGCCGTTACTTGGCCCGCCGGTCTGATTGCCGGTGTGCTGGTTGATGGATACGACTTGCTGAATCACGCACCTGACAGTGTGGTCCTCTCCTGCCGTCACGACCAGGTAGTTGGCCACGTGAGGACACAGACCCCACAGTTCACCCTTGCCGTGGCCTTGCATGTAGCAGACACTGTCCGCGTCGTGGTGAACGAAAATCTCGCTCAGTCGAGTGCCGATCAAAAACTGGAGACCACGTGGGCAACTGTTAATCAACCCCCTGGCTACACGCCCGCCAGGTAAGTCTTGACGATGTCTTGACGAACCCAGCATGCTGCTCCTATGCACTGTACAAAATAAAGTCACATCTGAAATAAGAAAAACATATAAGCAGCATCAATATTTCTTGGCAATAATCACGGTTCCTCTCGGCTCCCTCACCTGCGCCCGGCCGGGGTCTGAGAAAACAGGGCCCGGGCGTGGGGCGAGCTGTCTCCCTCTAGGATTTCCAGCTTTCACACGTCGTACGAGAAAAACAAAGATACTGTTGTGAAGGTCTCGTCAAATTATCAGAAATGCATAACAAATGTGTGACCTTAGGTCAAATGTTAGGCCACCAGAGATCACAAAAGGAAAAACGGCTATTCTGATAGATGCAATTAAACCATGTATTAACACGCACCCGGGTGGCCGGTTGAATACCCTTCGCTTAGGTGGGGAAGGTGTCAGTTTGACCTCCCCTAAGATCTCAAAAACTGAGAGCTTTAAACACCAAATTCACAGAGTGTGTTGCCTGTATAAGTACTCACTTGTATGAAACTTTGAGTCAGCGCGCGATAAGTCAGTGTACGACACTTCTTACCGTGGGCCTCTAATCCGCACCTGCATTGGCACTTCAACGTCAGAGTAGATCACTAGCGTAACATAGCACCTATCAATGATTGTATTTGAGTAGCACACCGTCTGGTGTAGGCCTTAATGCTAATTTAAATTCAATTATCAAAACAATCTCGAGGTGTTTTGGTTGCCGTGATCCCACGAGGGGCAAATAAAGCCACTGGTCTGATATGAGCCCCAGTGATCTACTCAAAGACATATGTATGTTAAAGTTGGTCGCATGTAGAGGTTTGAGGGCACTTCGACACCGATCTGTAGCTTGAACTATATTGATCTTATTAAACCCGAAGGCTATGCCAAATGGGGTTCCAAATTTGACACAAGTGTGTTCACATGCAGTTCTACCGTCTCTGCAAATTAGGTGTATCTATTATTCTCAGGGTTTTTTTGTGAAATATCAGATCGGTCAAATTGTCCCCCTCACCACACCCGAGAGTGCTGATTTCAACAGCAAGCCTACCCGCATCTCAGGGGATAAAACCATGTGATGAGGACATTATAGCCCAAATGAAAATATTTATAAATAATCGCACGTCAGACGGATCGTTGGGTCACTGACCTGCCCATGTTCCCAGACGACGGACGTAACAGCCCCATCTCTATTAAGCGCAGGACTTCTCGCTGACAACACAAGCATTCGTGTGAGATCTGATGTAATATCACTGACTCAACGAACATGATTTATTCATAGACTCACGAGGAGCTGTCCACATTTTATCTTGCAGCCTTCTGGTGCCAAAAATACATGCTTTGATTCACACGGTGCATGGCGTCGAGGCTGGCATCTCACCTCTAACAGTTTTGCTGGGGTCATAGTGAGCGGTCCACAGTTTGACGTGGCCGTCCTCTCCCCCCGTCACCAGACCGTCTCGAGCCAGCGCCAGGCACAGCACGGCACTCTGCGAGTGCACAAAATCAGAAGAACTGACATGGGGCTGCGTTTGGGGATAGCGGGTATGTGACCTCGGTCTACACCGCATATTTGCTCAACGCAAGATCTGATGGCGCTCTGGAAGCTTTACAGATTCTCGGTCAAAACGGAGTGGGTCTGGCTGCAACTTTTCCTAAAGGAGGAGAAAGCCTGATTTTAAGAAGCAGTTTTCATCAGCGACATCTCACGAATACCCGGCATATCGAAACTGTCTCCGCTGCTTTTGGACACAACTTTACAAATGCTGTCAAAATCTTGTGTGTTTACCGTTCCCAAATGGGTCCACGTTGAAAAAAGTTCTGTGCAATTTCTGCGGTTTAAAAAATGATAAAACCCGGATAAGAAGCAAGATATCATTAAGCACAAGACCCAACCCCAACTTTCCATACATCCAAAAAAAATCAATGGCTTGGTTGGCCCAATGTCTGTAAAAATGCTGCCGTTCATGACCGTTGACGGCAAAAATTGCGGCCATATTGCCGAATTGCATTGAACTTGAGGAAAAATAGAAACAAAATTACTGAAAATATCCAGGCGTACCTAATGCACTAGCATGGTAGTTGGAATCGTCACAGCACCGTACAAATCAAGGCAGTGAAAGCAAGAAAAGCAAATACTAAGTGGCCAGACCGCGTGGTGGCATGGAGTAACACTGAGCCTTATTATTCGCGCTGTTATCCAGCGCACACTGTTAGAGCTCTCCACCACGGCTGTACTGACTATCTGGCCGTCTTGACGCCCCCACCAGCCCCGTCTGCATGAAGCTGCACTAGCCAGTGTGCGTGCAGCTAGAGCTTACGTCATGTGTCCCATCGATGACGCGGTACAGCTCTCTGTTCCTCCACACGTACACATGGCCGTGCTCAGTGCCCGTCACCAGCGTGGTCTCCGACTGATACAGCACGCAGGTCAGGTTTTGCACTAGGTCAGCGGCTCCAAACACAGCACCGTGCGACCTGAAAGCCAGGCGTGTAAACCAACGGCGTGGTGCGTTTCGGATCCGTCCCGTTGGCCTAGCAGTGCATGCATGCTCATTCGGTGTGGTCGGACACGGTAACGATCGACTTAAGTGGTCCCCTAAGGCATGTTTGGTTTATTTCCATAGGCATATACAATATATATATATATATATATATATATATATATCATGCATTAACAGATAGGACTTTGTTTTCATGTTCTCACAATTACCTGATCCATGTTCGTTATTCCGGCGTCATTGAAAGTGGGGTTAGTGCAGCACAGCTGTGCCATAACCGCTAGTCAGAACCAGGGTCTTGCAGAAAACATCTAAAAACTTTTTGGTCTCCACGCGCGGAATGCTACATAGAAAAGCTTTACTCCGTGAAAGCGAATACCCCCGCTTACACTCAGACATTATGCCCTACCGTATCCTTCGTGTGATTACTTTTCGTTCATATGCAATTTGAACTGCCCCGCTTACTTGAAGCTGTTGCCCAGCTGGTGCCAGAGCCGGAGGTGATGGTCGCCGCAGGTGGCCAGCTCGTTGGCCGTGTACGGGCTCCAGGTGAGGTCCAGTACCCGCGCCGAGTGGCCTGTGGTGGAGGCCACGCTCGTGCCCCGCTGCCAGTCCCACACCACCAGCGTGTTGGAGTCGTCCATCCCGAGCGAGGCCAGCATCTGACGGAGTCACGACCACGGCACGGCAGGTCGTCGGTGAAACGCTCGTCTTCTCTCGATCACTGACAGACCGGACAAGCTGCCTGGTGAGCCGGGTACTCGGCCTCCAACCCTCGCCCTGTTGATGCAACCCCTAAACTGTTTTGAGGATACCTCTCCGGCATGCTGTTTTCAATCGTGCCCAAGTTTTTAGTAGCCTATGGGGCATCCATCGCGCGCTTTTGACACCAAAAACAGGCCCCTGTTAACAGTGAACAATGAACAGAGTAAACAGTGTTAAACAAAGCCATACATATCCGAGACAGTTCCTTAAGCAATAAAGCAATTGAACTTAGATACAGCAAATTTCATTGACCTAGTGCCAAGTGTGGAGGTCAGACTGAGTTCAACACTTAACATCTTTTTTTACTTGAGAACTTTCCTTACTGGGTAATTCCTAGCACTCATTTCGAATCTATTAATAACACAGACCGGCTCTATTAATAACAGACATGCTCCAAGGAAATCTTACACGTCAGAGTAGGTCACTGACCTAATATGGGAAAGGTCAGCCTTTTGTTTTTAGGAGAATGCCTCGTAACATAATTCTTTACGTTTATCCAAAAAGCAAAACGCAAGCAGTCTCTCAAGTTTTGGCCAACTTGATTTTTATGAGGCAAAAAACAATCACTGACCTTTTGCTTAGAACAGGGATCTATATTCAAGACGGTTGCATGATGGGTCTGGTAACACCTTAGACGCTAATATGGAGTTTGACCTTTTTTGACCTTGTTCGATACTAAAGGTATCATGTATAAGCCTTAATTTTGGCATAAGTGAGTTTACGCACACCCCATCCCACCCTGTTAGTTTGATGTATCTAGCTTTCCTGTTTGTTTGTGATCTCAGAAGAGCAAACTAACCCCGCCTCACCCGGGCAAAGGGTATTTAACCGGTCATCCGTGCATGTGGTTTAACTCATTTCAAGCCCATTCTGTGACAATTATTGCATCAAATCGCTTGCCATAACTAAAATGTTTGGAAGCAGCATATGACATATAAACCAACCGTTCATGATGATTATTGTTCTCGACAGTATGTGCATGGTGCGTTATGTCACACTTGCCACCCGCCTTATGCCTGATCCACCTAATGAAAGAGTACACGACCGCAGTGGTGTACTCCTTCATTCCAGTGCACTGCTATGACATTGATCTGAGAGCGTTCAGCCGGCGCTCGGCGCTCTGGCGCCGACGGCCCACCGCCCTGGTCTGAGAGCGTTCGGCCGCCATTCCCAGAACCCCACCTTGCCGTCCAGGCTGAAGCCCAGTCGCTTAATGCCAATCAGATGGGCGTCCTTCAGCACGGAGAGCGTTTCCAGCGTGAACGGGTGCCAGACGCAGATGTAGGGCTCGTCGCCCAGCTGACCGGTGGCCACCTTCGTTTTGTCCGGGCTCACTGCGAGGCTGCCCGCACACAGAGCGAGCCGGCTGGGTGGAGCCCACGGCGGGGTTCGCGGCAACACAAGGCGCAAACACTGCGCAGCGTTATACTGGCCGGTATGGGAAGCGTGTTGCCTCATTGAGAACACTTATTCATGGGCTCAATGCATTGCTCCAGCAGTGTAATATATTATTCACTAACGTCTTTCACGGCTGAAGACAGCTAATTTTGCAACGGTGCTCTGTAACGGTACAGTTGGAATGCCCGCATTACTAATTAATGCAGCGCACGCCTGGAAACAGCTACTTTGTTGAGGCGCAGAGGCGCTTGTCTCCTTTGTTCAGAAACTAAAGAGGCATGTCGGTTGGTGGACGACAGCTTAGACAGTTTAGACAGCAGCAAACAGTACACAGTGTTTGGTAGTCATTCAGAACATCCGCCATCAGCGCTTCACGATTACCTCGTGATGTCGTCGTTGTGTCCGTGAAAGTACTTCTGGTCCTTTTCCGCGAGGCGAAACACTACGCCCACGCCCGCAGTGAAGTACACGATGATGTTCTTGGCCAGGAAGTGGACGTTCTTCATGGCTACCCCATTATATCCGAATATCCACTCCAACCTGAGACTGGCGTCAGGCGGTGCCCTGGCGGTCATTTTGATCTTCCCAGCAGTGCGCACTCACTCCTGACGAGTGAGGCTGCGCCGGTCACCTGCCGTTCCTTTGAAGCACCACACCACACGGTGGCTCCTGCCTCGAAGGTTTGCAGCACCCTCACGACACTCTTCGCACACTCGTGGCGCCTGTCAAGGGGCCGCAGGGTCCGGCGAGACCTTGTGTTCTGAGCGGGACCTCGCGCTCAAAGGGACCTCGTTCTCAGCGGGACCTCGCGCGCTGAGTAGGACCTCGCGCACTGAGCGGGACCTTGCGCACTGAGCGGGACCTCGCGCACCGAGCGGGACCTCGCGCACTGAGCGGGACCTCGCGCACTGAGCGGGACCTCGCGCACCGAGCGGGACCCTGCGCACCACTGAGCGGACCTCGCGCACTGAGCGGGACTTCGCGCACCGAGCGGGACCTCGCACACTGAGCGGGACCTCGCACACTGAGCGGGACCTCGCACACTGAGCGGGACCTCGCGCACCGAGCGGGACCTCGCCAGGCGAACGCCGGCTCGTCGGCGTCAATGTGCCGGCTGCCCCACCAGCGTGGATTGGGCGGCGGACCGGTCCAGGCGACCGTTTGTATACACGGTCGCCAGGGCTCCTGCCGTCGGTCGATCGGGTGTTACACCGGCGGCCTGGGCGCGGTGACGTCACAGCTACCGGCGGCCGGGGCGCCGTGGCGTCACAGCTGTGTCGCGATACACGGGGCCCGAGGCGTGTCGTGAAGCGGCGTGGCCACCAGAGTGCAGCTTCGGGTTTTCAGCAGTATAGTCGACAGGTGGTCAGGTCTTTGTGGTTTTGCTAGGTCAAAGATAGGCTGTGCCCGCAAGATCAGGTCGACATTCTATTTTCCTGGATACTCTGGATATTCCACGTGTCAGGGGAACGGGCGCAATTTGCTTGATCCCCATGTTTCATTTCAAAACTTTTGGCATGTCCTCACTGAAGTAGCATAATTCACACCATAGCCTCCAGTTGAGGGGAGAATCCTAGCTCAACTCTAATACAACGTAATGGATGCTGATCAGCACTCATTACGACTGGGGACGGCCAGCCTGATGATGGTATTAAAAGTTGATATGTTGCATTTACTGGCTGTGACTGTGCATGGCGAAAAGACGAGAAAGGAAAGAAGCTAGGCATTGTCTTCGGTATGTGCTCATGGAAGCTGTGCCGATGGAGCTTCATTGAACTGAGACGCCCTGATTTCCTTTACTGTTTTATTCATGTCAATCAGTCTACACCGGTTGAATACACATACTTGGCAGAATACATGATCAATAGCACGGACCTCCGCGCAACCACATTTCGCCTACAAGCTAAGGGCACACCCATGCGTGAATGCGGAACGATGTGACAGTGAATGACTTTCAACGGCCAAAAATGTGACCATAAGCGTGAATGACATAGTTGTGATTCCGTCCTCAAACGCTTGCGGAGCACATGCGTCGAAACGAGACGCGATAGCATTTGGAAGTCACACGAACACGCCCAAGTCCGTGAACAGGGCGAGCGCTTCATCCTGCCAGGTGTCCATAGTTCCACGGAATGCTATGGGTACAAACTGGCGCCGCAGAAGAAGTGTAGGTGCGCCTGGCGCAACTCCGGGCTGCTGCAGTACAGCCAGCTGTCGGCGAAGTTGAAGAGTGCGCGCATGATGACCACCACCACCCACCAGGGGTCGACCTCATCCACCTCGGGCTTGATGCTCGTCAGCGCTTGCATCAGACCATGCACGCTAAAGGGCACCAGGCAGATGCCGTACAGCAGGAAGATGCGCAGCAGGTAGTAGAACTGGCGCACGTGCTGGCGCAGCCGGCCGCGCTCGGCCAGCTGGTGCGGCAGGGTGACCAGACTGCGACGCAGCAGGCGGCGCGCTGAGCACGCTAATGTCAGATTCAGCAGCAGCGTGGCCGTCACTATGCCGAGGTTGGTGATGTAGAGTAGCGCGCTCGCCTTAGCGCCGAGTATACGCACTGAGGCGGTGAAGCAGTCAGACACGGCGTCCGGCAGCCGGTGACCGGCCAGCAGCTGCCAGCAGATGCCCAGACCGTTGACCACCAGCGCCAGCGCTGCGGCCAGCAGCACGCGGCGCAGGACGGTGCCGGACGTCACCAGAAGCGGGTAGCTGAGTGGGTTACGCAGGGCCGTGTGCCGGTCCAGCGCCAGCCAGAAAATGACGACGTTGGAGGCGGTGAGCGAAAAGGTGGTGGCGGCCAGCGTAGACAGGCAGAACGTCGGCGACTGCAGCGACAGGGCGAAGCGCAACGTCGAGTGTGTCACGTATACCAGCCCCAGCAGGCAGTCGATGAGGCAGAGCGTGCAGATGTAGTAGTTGGTAGCTGTGTGCAGGTGGGAGTAACGAGCCACCACCACCGGGAAGGTGGCCGACGTCAGCAGTATCAGCAGGCCGACGACGAGTCCGGACAGCTGCGGCAGCGGCATGGGCAGGCCGCCGCCGCCGCCGCCTGGCACGCCAGGGCCAATTAGAATCGGTCAAGAGCAGGGTACATTGGTCTTGTTTTGGTCAGGCATATAAATGGAGACGCTATTTTGGCTGCGTGGCGGCGCTCCGTCACTGCAACTATGGAATGAGATGCTGCTATCAGTCAAAGGCTATCGAAATATTACAATGCGTTTGATGAGTTCTGATACCGAAGCTGGATTAAAATTACCTTGGTCATGCAGATACCTCCTGGCTATTATATGACATTTCGCAGATGTGTGCTTGAGAACAGATCTATAAATCGAAGCAAAAGGCAATGCAGTTGCCTTACTCAACCTAGACTACTTGGCCTGCCTACCAGATTACCCTAGGCATTACGAAAACGGACAGGAATAACGTACGGAAAAAGAGACACTTGGCGAAATGGGAATGGGTGACTTCTTAACATGCACTATGCCACGGCGACTGAGTACAGAGGGCCAGCTGTAGTGCGGTTTACAGCAGCACGGCACATTGGGAGCATGAGGAGAATGAAGAGTCCCATCGTTGCCGGTCATTTTAATACGTTACCAGCAATACAGAGCATTCAAAGTTACTGTCACCCACGCTTTTGTCGCCATGCAGGGAATCTTGCGCGCTGCCTTTTGTCGCCATGCAGATAACCTTACGCGCTGCCTCTTGTCGCCATGCAGATAACCTTGCGCGCTGCCTTCTCTCATCCAATCAGCCTTCCCAGCCGATCCTCTAGCCTTCCCAGTTGAAATCCAGACATCTGACCTCCATAGCTGGCGGGCTGTCTCAGTTATTGCTGCCCCTTTAGGGTAGTATTTCGTTGTTTTGCCAGTCAAAGACGGTTAGATGGTTGGTGGTTATGAAAAATCAGGATCGCATCGCGTGCGTGTTTGGAGGGAATGTATTACATGACACATATATTTCAGCCATATTTGGCAGCATTTTAAAGCAGAATGCTTTTCGTCGCACTGAGAATACTTGGCCAAAGGGGTTGGGATAAAATATATTGCAACCAGCTTTGCTTAGCATCGGCTCTAATTCTGAGCCGGCACAAAAACTAACTGAAAGCTGAAAATATGGAAAGGCATGTGCTAAAAGTAGATAAAAGTACGCATAAGTTTCTTGAAAGCAAAGAAAATTACTAATTGGTAATGTACGCATTTTTGCCGTATTAACCAGAGCCAGACGAAAGTGTGTGGGGGGTGGGGGGGGGGGGGGAAGCTGACAGACCTTGAGATTTTCCGTGGATAACCTTTTCGATATCCATTTCGCCGTGTTTATTTCTAAAAGTTGACCTCCTGCTATTCGAACTCCTGCCCATTTATCTGCATTGTTCTCCAAGAGGCTCATGACCTTTGACCCATTTGGAAAGGTTTGGTCAGGGTTTCAGGGTTTAAGGTTTCATTCGAAATAAACAGTAAAACTGACCAGTCGGCAATCGGGCCATATTTCTATTGTTTCACAACAATAGTCCATTTTGATGTCAGTGGCAAACGATTCGATGTATCTGAGGATAAGAAAGCAGACCATCGAAGGTCAAATTAGGCTAAGCAACCCCGTTGCTGTTTTATATGGTTTTGGTGGCTCTTGTGCAGTCACAATAAATTATCTTTACGAGCTACCATGGTAATACCACTTGGTAATGACGAACATCGTGCGATCAATTGTGGAAAGCTTATTGGATCAAGGTCAAGCTGCGTCAGACGAGTGATCAGGGGGTAAGTGCCCATCGGCACAGTTTGTGCAACAATGGTGCAAAGAATGCTTTGCTGGCTACAGTCAATTACCATTTCTTCTGTGTATGTGCATCGAAGGGAAATTGACCCTCCGAAGGTCATGCACGGCCATAACATTAAAACAGCACTGACTGCATGGGAGATTTGAGCTGCTTTTTCCGAAGCCCGCGATGCGAAGACTATGCAAATGTCATTTCACCTATCACAGTTCTTCCCACATACGTCTCAAATACCACTCATATGAAAAAGTTCGTCATATTGAACAAAATGTCGATGGCGTTCTCGCATCATGAGTGGTTACCACATCGCAGGGAGAAGAAGCGATCCGTGTCATAAGCGAGTTTGACCTGTGAACATGTAATCGGATGGAAGTCAGTTTGCCCCCTCCCCCTCCCCCTCCCAGGTTTTTCCAGAACAACTCCCGACAGCACAGCATTTTCGCGCCAAACGTTGCAGCTATAGAGATTGAATTGCTGATTATTTGGTGTAATGCATTCCATGCACCTTATAAGGTCACTGACGTATGGCAGGTCAAATTCAGGCCATAACTGTTAGCGAAGACAATTTTTACGATATCGCTTGATCTGATGTGACAGCGGAGTCTTAGATGAAACCATATCTCTTTGAGGTAATTTCTTAGACAATGTCCCAGTTCAAGTTAGAATAACGAATAATTCCGTCGGCATCGTATCAGGTATAAAGAAGAGACCGAGGTAAAAACTAAACTAATTTGTCGGAAGATTTGACGCATGGGGTAGTTTTTACGCTCATTTCGAATTACTCGAGCAAAGGAACGTCGACAGGTATTTGGACTTCATGAAGGTCAGAAAGGACTGACCTGAAATGACACCGGCCTTTTTTTGTTTCGCTTTCATGAGCGAGCTGTTTGGTGTAGCGTTTGACGCCCAGTTAAATTCATTATCCAAAATAGTCCCAAATGTTTTTGGTGGCAGTGGCCTTCTGAAGGTCAGCTAAGGTCACCAGCTTGAAATGAACACTAGTTAAGTTTTGCTTAGAGCGGCATCTAAGTTATAGGTGGTTGCATGAGGAGGTTTCAGGCTTAGACACCAATCTGGGTCTTTGACCTTTTTGGTCTTGTTTGCCCTAAAAGTAATTGCCTTAGAATCTCGAAAATCCGTAAAAGTGATTTCACGTACCATGCTATCTACTTGATGAATTTGGTATCTAGCACCACCAGCATTTGGGATTTCCGAGGGCCCAACTGATCCTTATACTCGAGCGTGTCTTATTAAACCGGTTACTCGGGCGCATATGAAAAGCTAAATATATATCATCCAAGCTGTACCGAAATGAACTAGTTCATTTACAATTTAAATTACGTTTATCCCATAATTTCCGCACAAATGATTGCACTGTATATCAATACTAAGCATGCATGACTTCATGAACAATGCTGAACCTCAGAGGTCACAAATTAACACAAAAAACTGCATATCTATTCAAACATTGAACCCATGTATTCCACATAGCGACGTTTACTGCATAAGCACAACAGGTAAGTCTGCATTCTATTGACGCGTACCACGTTTGCAACCGCATGTGGTGTCTGACGATCATGCTAAGCATAAACAACACCGAATCCAGCGGTGCAGAGTACGCAGTTCACATTCTAGGCTGTTCTCAGGAAGGACAGACAAAGTTGCAGTCGCCTTCCGTGACCGGGCAATCCGTATAGTCGTCGGAATGATGTCGCTCCACTCAGAACTCGCCGTTAGTGTCACGACCTTTTTGTGGCGTCAACCCACGTTGAACATTGCTGATTCAATCAGCAATGAAAGGATCAGAAAAAGATGGAGCCGGTTTCTCTATCTTTTCAAAATATATCCAGTCACTGAGCTCGGTGCTCCGAGCTAGAATGAAAACGAAGTTATTCGGTCTATGCATACCGTTATGTTCTGAACGCCGGTAGCTTTCATGCCATAAACTGCTTAGAACCCCAGCATTACCACAGTGCAGTACTGAAGGGTTCAAATATGTAGCATATTGGCGCGTGCTGGTGGGCCGCACGTTCCAGATCATTTGATAGTTCCCTTTAACCGAAAAGTGTGATTTGATTTAATACTGTGAAGTGAAAATATATCCTGCAGATTGGAACCAAAGTAATGCTAAAAAGAATGCTAGGTTTCTCCATGTATTCAATTTTCTTTTCACAATGCGTTCATGGGCTGTGTCCATATTCATACGCTTTAATCGTGCCAGCCCGTTACTTATCCATTTGCATTTTGGCAGCACTAGGATTCGAAATCATGGAAACACCTCAGTAACGTTAGCGGCGAAATTTACACCTTTGCACTGATGATTGTGATAAAGACCAATGTGAATATAGCTGGATATGACTAATATGAGCACGAGTAGTGCCACTGTTTAGCACTCTTAGACTATCTCTCCGATATTTTCCTTACGTCTTACTTGTGCCCTCCTCCTAACGGTATTTTTCTTAAATCTGCACGCAACCCAGCCGGTCACCCATTTCTTTTGGGCATCCTTAGGCACGGACTTCTGTGAATTCCTCTACAAAGACGACACAGTGTATTATAGTTTTTAGATTTTCCCGCCGACGCTAAAGATCAGGGCATCTTCGCATGTTAAACGCTCGTAAGAGAGATATAACAACGCGCTTATAAGCCCTATCATATAAATATATATATATATATATATATATATATATATATATATATATATATATATGTATATATATATATGTGTGTGTGTGTGTGTGTGTGTGTGTGTGTGTGTGTGTGTGTGTGTGTGTGTGTGCGTGTGTGTATATGTGTGCGTGTGCGTGTGCGTATGAGTTTCATTTCAAATAGCAGCATCTCTGACATTGAGTTTCTTTTTAGATAAAGATTCAATTCTCCGAATTAGCCGTCTCCCATCAGCGGAAAGACTGCTAAGAACGGCACCCATATATTTTGTAAAGTTTCATTAGTCCTGCCAATATCATCGGAAAGCATAAGCACCATTACACCCAGCAACAATACACACAACATTAGTGGTCGCGTTGGCTCAAAATTACATGTATGCATTTCTCTTGCTCAAAAAGGTCATTTGGTGTTATGAAAAGCTGCGTTCATGTACAGTACTAGAGGACACCTGGTATGAAGACAAACACTGGTGAAGTCCTTACCCGGCCCTGTCGCCCCTCCCAATTTCGCCATTTTAGGCCTATATATAGGTGCCAGAGTCTGCCTGTCCCACAGCCACAGTGTGCCCGGCATATCGATCCGCCG